AGCTGAATCACTGGTAGTTATTATCCAGATCACAAGACTTTCTTCTTATCTTCACCATACTGTATACAATTAAAGTGGCAAGACTAACATTCAAATAATTTGAAGTTAATATTGCGAAGACTGGGATTAATCACAAGCAAGGTACAGACATAGATCCCATTAGTCTCCTGTGCTTTTTGTGTGTGGTTAAAATCAAGGTAAACAAGATAATATGGGAACCTGATAACAAGTGCTGTTTGAAGGGTTAGCTACGTTATCACAACATACGGAGCAATTCTCTATCCCTAAATGATCCTTGTTTGAGCTTACAATATCTCGGTAATCATCTTATAAGGAGTGGCTTGGCATCGTTCTGTACCATCTTTGCTGCGTGGCTATGCTGTTTCTCTCAATGTCCCAGAGAGACCTGCCACTTTGCACTTGGATCTTCTCTTATTAGAGAACATTCTCAGACAGTTTCTTAATCACTGGAAAGACGACATAAAGAACATAAGCACGCTTCCAGACAATTGGTTTTTCCAATTATTTCTCACAACTATAGTCACATGGTGAGTTCTGAAACTACAGCATACAATCCAATTTGCAAAAATACCTCTATGTTCTTTTTGGAAAGCCCCCCTCTCCTCCCTCCCCAGAAACTTGACAATTGCTGTGAAATATCAATTTGGTGAACCGACTTTTGCGCTGCATGATTTGCTATGCATATTGGAGTTTCTTTTGTTTTTCTACATAAACATACAGATGAAAACGTATGCATTTGAATTGATCTGGCTAACTTTCTGTAAGATCTCCCAAAAGGTCTTTGGCAATTTGGGAACAGATGCATTTCTTGTGGAAAGTTGCAGCAAAACGGTTTGGGTGGGTTTTTTTTTAAAGCATACCATGAACATATTATAGTCTTTTGATTAGCAAGACATGTTCTCCTGAAATGTCATTGTATGGCACAACAAAATGAGGCTCTGAATGACACTGAATGAGAGATTGGTAGGGATGGAAGGATCTGCCAGTTTCTCATTTTTCCAATCTTATACAGTGGACCTCGGGTTACAGACGCTTCAGGTTACAGACACTTCAGGTTACAGACCCCGCTAACCCAGAAATAGTACCTCAGGTTAAGAAATTTGCTTCAGGATGAGAACAGAAATCATGCAGTGGCGGCAGGCCCCATTAGCTAAAGTGGTACCTCATGTTAAGAACAGTTTCAGGTTAAGAACGGACCTCCAGAACGAATTAAGTTCTTAACCCAAGGTACCACTATATTCAGTTCTCCACATTTCTCAGAAATTTGCACACACACACACACACACGCGCGCACACACAAACTTATGAAAATTGATCTGGATTTTTGGCCAAATTTATCCCAGTAAACACATTTTTTGCAAGCAATTTTGACTAATTGACACATTATTTTCTTTGCAATTGCTCCATTATAATGCATTTGGTGCATTTCAATTATATTTTATGCACTCTTCCCCAATACATGCAGTTTCTTGAACATCGTTTGGTAGAAGAACCACATTGCAAAATTCGGATAAGTGCGAATTGGATAGGTAGTATACAAAATAAATAAACGAGGCATGTCAGTAAGTTCATTTAAACTGTTGCCACTCATCCCAGCCAAGATAAGGTAAATTTATTCCATATTTTATATTTTTGTTGTTAATTCTTTGATTAGGGGTTTGTAGTTTAGTATCTCTAATTTTGCCAAGTGTTTCTGTACAACCTCATACACTTCCCTTAAAAAGCTAAGAGTGGTTTATAAGTAGCTCTCAAAGCCCCCTCCAAATACTGATCAGGGCCATAGGTGATTAGCTTTAACAATGCTACAGCATCAGCTGTATGGGTGATGTGGTGCTCACCTCACTTCAGGCCAAGGGAGCCGGTGTTTGTCCGCAGACAGATTTCTGGGTCATGAGGCCAGCATCACTAAACTGCTTCTGGCACAACAGAACACCGTGACGAAAGCCAGAGCACCCATAAATGCCATTTAGCTTCCTGCTGCAATGGTACCTATTTCTCTACTTGCGCTGGTGTGCTTTCGAACTGCGAGGAGGAGTGTTATTGCGTTGTTGTTTTTATTTTGATTATGTATTTTGTGGTTTTATATTTTGATTTTATTCTGTGAACCGCCCTGAGATTATTATTATTATTAATAGGTTGGCAGAAGCTGGGACAGAGCAACGGGAGCTCACCACCGTTGTGGGGATTTGAACCACCGGCCTTCCAAATGGCGAGCCCAAGAGGCTCAGTGGCTTGAATTCAGAAGCAGCATGTAAGTTGCTCTTTTTAAACCTGGGGGTAGATACTATAGTTCACTTTGAGGTCTTCTCTCTCTCTTTTTATTAGCTAAGAGGTTAGATAATGCAGAGCTGTCATTCAAGGATTTCCTCCCTTTCCCCGTTTCCTTTTAAATCTTCAAAATCTTCAGGCTAAACCTGCACCAGTGAATAGAATACTATAATACAACCTATTTATATGCCTGTCATACAAAGACAAATCTATTTCAAGGGAAATGGATTTGAGCATTTGGAAGGAACGATAAATAGATTGACCAAAGGGGTGGGGGGAGATACCAAGCAAGCCTTACCACCCCATGCTAAATAATAATAATAATATGAAAACATTTTTTAGGTGGAACTCTCAGAAATGAAAACTGTAGAGGATCTAATGTTGAAAAATAATTTCTTGGAAATGTCTATAAGGAATTGGTTTAAAATCATGAATAAAACGTCAACTTGCATTTCTAACAAGAATAACTCAAGGGAGATTTATTCTCTTTTGTCAGGATGAATTACGGGTGTATAAATTGCCCTAGATCCATGTGCAGAAGTGCATTATAGTCTAATTCTCTGAACAGTGCGTATAACTGAATTACAGTCAGGGTGTGTGTGTGTGTGTGTGTGTGTGTGTGTGTATTGTATATAGTGTTGCCATTGTATCTTCCTCATTTTGTTCAAGCCCTCCAGATATGTAACTCTCCTGGTTAGTCACAGAAGTCAGATGACATTACGTTCATAGAGCTACTGTAGTGTCAGGTCTCTGTTATTAATTTACCAAATTCTTTGGAGCTTCATTGATGCAACCTCATTGTCTTGCAGCCTAAATCTACCAACCTCAGGGCAACCAACTAAAATCAATTGCAACAATGACTCTACTGCAAGCTGCTTCAAGTCTGCAGCTATAGTTCCTAATGGGTTTGAACTGAAAAATTGGAAGTTGGAAAAGCTAAGCCCAGTTCCCAGCTCATCAGCTAGTGAGTGGAGTATTCAATCTTGCTGGAGTCTGCTACTTTAGTGTGCTCCCTGTGGGGGAACATGCTGTTGAAGAAGACCTCTGCAGGCTTCCATCCAGTGCCCTATCCCTTGACAGCCCTGGATTGCTCTGAGTGTCCTGACCTGACCTGGGGCAATTCAGGGCTGTCTAAACCAGATTTGGCCCAAGCCTGGATCCTCCCCAAATAAGAGTGAATGTGGTATACAGCCCTACTCTTTACTACTACCATCACCACCACCATTAATACTAAGGCAACACCCTAGAAGGCCTTTGTGGACTATTGTACATTGCTACTACTACGGAATAAGCAAGAAGGTGTGTGTGTACCCAGTGTGCACCACACGTGTGCTAACAATATGTCCTTGTGTGTCATGTTCTGCATAAGTTTTCAACCCTTACACTGAGTCCCCCTTTTCACTGTAAAATGGATGTTTTCATCACATAAGTCTTCATGGCTGGTTGTGCTTTGCCCTGAAAACAGTGGGACACATTAGTCATGACCTGTCTCATTGATTTCAATAGGTGCAACTAACTTAGGCATTAACAGTCCAAAATGGAATGTCCCTATTCTGAGACACTATTCTTCCAGTTCTGGGAACCCTTGACAATGGGTGGTGATTGCCATCAAACCCCACTTGTGAGCTTCCCAGGAACCTGTGGTTGGCCACATTATTGTAGATGCAGTGCTAGACTAGGCAGAAACTAGTCAGGCAATTCTATTCTTACAAAGAAGCAGAAACTAGCAGATTAGTTTGTACTGCTTAATGCTATGAATTGAACATTGATTGTGAGGGAACTGAATTTAGTTCAAGTGTGAAGTTCAAAATATGCATTAGATTCATTCTGGGGTCTAATAAGCCCCATGATAATAACAATAACTCAACTGTGCAAACAAGTAATTAGAACAAACATTTCCAAGTGCCTTGGTGACCTAGTCACAACAATCAAATATGAGGCTCTAGCTCAAATTATATTAGTTGATTTCAATCTTGCTACTAATTGCAGCTCTTGTTGACATAGACAATTCTACTGTAATTCTGGCCTTTTGTCTTGCAGCTTTACAATAGCTCATAAATATCTTTGGGGTGCACTCATTATCTCTTTGAAATTATTTTCACCCGTGCAATTTTAGGTTAATTAGTTGAATTCATGCTTATAAATTTGTAAAGCAAAATATGTTTGACCCAATCTGTTTTGATGAGTTATAAGCCTTAATTTCTTTTTAGTTAGATGGCTGAACATATTGAATCCAATGGCATCAGCCTGTATATTCTTCAAGTAAACAAAGTGCATACATTGAGTATGGGGGTCAGGAACTGTCAAGACTCTAGCTGGGAGCATTGGTGTTTCATGCAGCTGCCTCATGTGGTGGGCCAATGAATTGCACTTCTACCTAGTATCTTCATGCCTTAGGGCCACATCTGTCAACCCTACTTGTATGCCTTCTTCCAGTAACTCCTGCAGCCAAGCTGGTGCCAGATGTATTGCTCTGTTTTCCTTTGGACCACATCAGCTGAGAGAAGGGCTGTGTCGTCTGGGCAACCCAAGGCCTCCATACACACTGCCCAGGCTTGTGCCTTGAGGAGGTCACTTCTGTGTTGCTAATGCAGTGGTTTGACTTCACCCCAGAGGTGCACTCCATTGTCTCTCCAGAAAGACAGATGCCAAGAAACTTGACTGTTAGTGACTCTGCAGGGTTTCAGGTAGGGAAAGGACCCAGTCCTACTTGGAGACACCGGGGATTGAACCTGGAACCTTTGACCTTTGAACCTGTGTGCAAAACAAACACTCTACTTCTGAGCCATGGCCCTTCCACAGTAAGTGATGGCAGCAAAATCTGATTCCTGCTATTATTGGAGGTAAGGTCCTCAGAGCATTGCTTATATTCAAGGAAATGGAGTCTGGTTTAAGGGGGTTATATGTATGTGATAGCAACATGAACCTTGAAAGGTTTCCCATGGTTGACTCATATATAACCTGGATTTAGAATCCCTTCCATTGGGCTCTTTGTTAACAGGGAGCAGCTAACAGCAGATAGAAATGGAGAAAATAATGACCTTTATTGTTGGCATGAAACTTATCTTTTCTGTTATGTTATTTCCTTCTGAGGGGGGCCTCATTTGGCACCATCATTGCTTGCCTTCAGGTAAGAAGTACAACCAACCCTTGCTTTTTTCAAAGGGATACTGATAACTACTGCCTATGTTGTATAATGCTGCCGGGTCTCTGCTGTTGCTACGTTGCAACTTTTTAAATGCTTTCCCTTGCTGTTTAAATGTGCATTCTGATTTCATTTTTATTGGCCATTCTGGGGTTCCTTAGGGCTTTAAAAATGCATTCAAGGATATACATATGAGAAAAGCGATAATCGTACACAGATAGTATGAAAATACATAAAAAGAACAAACTATTAACCAATAAATGGATACAATATATTAACTACTGGTAAACTGCTAACTAAGGCTGCGAATAACATTAGTAGTACTAGCAATATTTTCAAATAAGCACTCTCCCTCTTATATTTGCTATTGGGAAACATCTTGAATATCTCCCATCCAGATGTGCTTGCATTTGAAAGAATTGGACTTTCTTATGGTTTGAAAGGTAGGCTATAAACATTCAGAATAATTTAAATGGTCATTTAGAGGCCTGCCTTTCAAACTTCCTGTCCTCAGAGAACATGCATACCTCAAAACTCCTGCTTCTGAATAAACAAGCATAGGCAAATGAGTGTTGCAGAGGAATCTATTAAGTGTTCTGTGGTGTGCCATTGCCTATCAGTGTTCATCGTGCACCAACCAGACTTTGCCATTCCCAGAGGATTCTGCTAAGTGTTCTGCGGTGCACCACCGCTGATAAGTCTACATGGAGCACCAACCAGACTTTGTGATTGTCACACATAGATCAAGAATGTAAACACTCCCTGGTACAGTTCATTGCAGGGGGAAGTCGATAGCAGTAGCCCTCTTTGTGGAAAGATTGCTCATTGTCACCAATCTGATAGAAATGTAACTTCCTGCATGTACTGCTCTACAAAGAAGCTATGAAGAACAATGGCTTCAGTTAGTATATTTTGCTTGCCGATCAGAAGGTTGGCGGTTCGAATCCCAACGACGGGGTGAGCTCCCATTGCTTGGTCCCAGCTCCTGCCCACCTAGCAGTTTGAAAGCACGTCAAAGTGCAAGTAGATAAATAGGTACCACTCTGGCGGGAAGGTAAACGGCGTTTCTGTGTGCTGCTCTGGTTTCTCCAGATGCGGCTTTGTTATGCTGGCCACATGACCCGGAAGCTGTATGCCAGATCCCTCGGCCAGTAAAGCGAGATGAGCGCTGCAACCCCAGAGTCATCTGCGACTGGACCTAACAGTCAGGGGTCCCTTTACCTTTAAGGAGGTGTAAGGAGCCAACATACCCTATGAGTAGGGTTTGAAAACAGGTGGTATAGGGATGGTCTACAATTAGATTTTCTACATTCCTAACTCAGAATTAAGTTAGGAATTTAAGCGCTATATCTTTTTGCTCAGGCTCTCCCTGACTCATAAGATTGAACCCTGTTTTACATGTTTAAATCCTCTGGATTTCTGTTTCACTAACTTTTATACGCTTTTATATGTTTTCATATTGCTGTTTAGTTTGCTTTAGGTGGTCTTTCTGTTTTAATGATACGTTGTTTGCTTCTTAGATTGCACGCCACTTAGGGATGTTTGAAATTTTAAACTGTTCACAATTGCTTTGAAATAAATAAATAAGTTTGGATACAGTTTATTGTTTTTTTTTATTAATCTTAAAGTGATTTCACAATACAGCAAAAGCCATATATAAAACGATAGCATATATAAAAGCAATTACATATATAGGAAATTGAGACAATTTGCATGAATCCAGTTACTGACTGGGGTGATAAAATTCCACTTTAGAAGGCTTGTTAGTGCCAAAATAGCCTTTGAGTTGGTTTGCAAAGTATAAAAGAAACAGTTTCATGAACATTAAGATATAAAACATCCATAATTAAAATCTGCAATAAAACAATATAATTAAAACAATGCAGCAACTAACAGGAGACTTGTGTTGAGAGATCAGAGTGATGCCCGTGTAAACAGGCATGTCTTCAAAAGATGATGGGATGCCAATACAGATGGAGGCTGTCACATATCACATATCTGAACAATATAACACAACACGATGGCCAATAACAATGGCACTAAACACTATTTATAGACTAATACCAATGATCAGAAATTACAAGCAAAGTCTCTAAATCTTCTTCACCATTCAAAAGTTTGAAGAATTGATCAAGATTGACTGATGAAGCATTGAACGAAACAGATTGGTTACCCAGAAACTCTGTTCCGGCGATATTTGGTGATAGATTATGTATATATCGAACTTTTGAATTATTCTACCGTGACTGGTGGAGAAGATCTAGAGACTTTGGTTGTAATTTCTGATCATTTGTATTAGTCTATAAATAGTGTTTAGTACCATTGTTATTGGCCATCGTGTTGTGTTATATTGTTCAGCTTGTCTATATTGCAACACAGGAGTCACATATCATATCAGCAGGCACTGCATTCCATAACACTGGCCCTGCCAGTGAAAAATCCTGCCTCGCTTGACCATAAGCCAATAATATGGGGCAGGGGAGCTAATGGCAACACTACACCACCCAGACCTAGAGATGGTGCTGCATTTGTATTGCAGTTCTTCTCATCTTCAGGTCAGGTCACAAGGCTTCCGCTGGAAGAAAAATGCACGCAGTTCCTGCAAAAATGCAGTTAGCAGACGTACGATTCCAAAAAGGTACTTGCACAGAGCTTTCGGGCCAGAGATATGCATATTACATCACAAATTTAAGAAAATGCAATAATAATAATAATAATTTGTGTCATTTGCAAAAGGCAAGCAGAAAACCGAAAAAGATTATTCATCATGGAAGGCCTTTTCCCAACACAGCTCTCGGCATGCAGACAGAATAATCGCATGGATTCTAATGGCTCGATACTGAAGAGAGCCATTTAGTACATATTTTATGCTGCTTGCTTCAGTGCCAGATATCTGGTAATGTAACTAAAATGGACTTTTAACTGCCAGCGGAAGATCTCCTTTCAGGACTTTGGTTTCCTTGGGGAGGAAAAGAGAAAGCGTATTCAGTCGCACACAATTAATGTTCTGCTCCCTGGCATTGTAATTCTCTCCCCTTTTCTCGAGTTTAGCGGGGGGCTTCTCGGCAGGATTTACATAGTTTGGTGGTCTTGGGATACTAGATATAGTGCTCTAATTCTCTTTGTCTGGAAGAATAGATGTGTGAGCTTAAGTGAGAGGGGAAGAAGGCAATGAATGAGAGGGAGTGGGAGAAAGAGGACCAGTAAGAAAACAGATGGTGGAGAACAGTCAACACAATAAAGGGAGAGAGAAGGAACAAAGTTACACAATACACATAGTGGTTGTGTGTACAGTGGTATTTCTTGTAGCAGTGTAGATAGTTTATAAAACAAGAATATATGCTGACTATGGGATCTGTAGCCCCAAATGTGCAGAGGGCACAAGGCTGATGAAGTCTGCATTAAGGCTATTTTCATAAGCCATGATACTACTTGGGAGCCCCCAAGACTGGTGTGTGCGTGTGGGTTTATTCTGCAACATGTCACCAATGCAATAATAGTGGATGATTCATACTGGACAGTCTGCACACGGTTCTGCCTTTTTGGTTGTTTTGTGATGCCTCCCTAATACTCACACATTATTGCAATCTAGAGGGGCACTCCTCACTAGAGTGCAACAAAAGCGGGACAACAAATAAACTGGAACATTTGTGGTCTGAAAAGTGTCAGGATTTCAGTGGGAAGTTACAGGGCATGCACTGATTGGAAAAGAGGCAGCTACAAATGGTATTAAGAGTGTGGTTGTGTATGGGTTGGCATCTATCTGTCTCAGGAGACAATGGAGGGGTGTGCCTTTAGAGGTGAGGTCAAGCTGTTGGAATGGTTGCACCACCAGCTGTGGCTGTAGAGATGTTTTGTTGCAGCTGGGGCGGATGAAGGTGTCCGGTTGTGCTGCTGCAGATGCATCATGGCGTTTCTTCTCTCTGTGCTCCTCCCAGCAGTTATTCCTCCTCTGGTCACTGCTATGGAAGCATGACCTGACTGTCTGTCTCCAGGTACTGTGGTTGTCTGAAAGGGATTTCCAACACGGCAGTGTTGATGATGCCAGCCTTCATGTCATGTTTGCAGAAATCTTTGCTACACAGAGTTAATCTGCCAATTGGCCTGGTGCCCGAAGTCCATAGATCATGTCCTCGGGGACCCTGCCATCTTCCATTCTGTGGACGTAATGAAGCCATCATAGATGTTGCTGGGGCAGGAGTGTGAACATGCAGGGAATATGGACTTGGGATAGCACTTCTTTGTTTGGGTGTATAAGCATCCTGATACCACCATGAGCACCAACGGTCATGAATGCACAATAAAAAGGACATCTGGAGAGCTTTGGTCATTCAGTGAAACTGAAAGGAACGAATGGTAAATGATGGTAAATGCTTATCTTCTCAAATACCCACTTAGACATATTATTTTTAAATCCATGCACAGGGTATGTGTAACATTTTTATATGCAAATGTACCTTTGTGATTATGTATGCTGCTTGTTGAATAGAGAAATATATGGAAGGTTTTTCTTCTTCTTCTTCCAAAGATGCATCTAGTTATTTATTTATCACCAGGCTTAAAATTTTCGCCGAAAAGCATTCCAAAAGAATGCGCACCCTCCTCTCCTCAGAACACAGGCATTTTTGAATATGAACACGTCTGACTGAATTCAGCTTTGCTTTTTGAGTGGAGTGTGCACCCAGGGTGCGCGGTGCTCGCTTCATAAACACAGCAGCCTCCAAGAAGAAACAAATGCCTGGAGGAAACACTCGATTCTTGAGGACAAGGAAAGCATTTGAAGAAATGATAGTATCTTGATATTCTTTAAGCACAAATAGGAAGAAAAATAGAATATTCCAGGGGGCCAACTGGAGCAGTCTTATAGTGATGGTGGAGTAGGTCTGAGATGGAGCAAATGCCACATTGACAGCCAGTTGACAGCAGTGCCAGCTTGGCTCCATGACTGTGGGTGCCCGGGGCCGTGGGTGCCATGCAGTGTGCATGGCCCTGGTGCCAAAATTTGTGGGTGCCTGGGCCCCTTCATGGGGAATTTTGTGGGTGCTTGGGCACTCAGGGCCCCAGGGAGCCAGCATCTATACCCGTTGGCTCACTATAGTGAGGGAGGGAGGGAGGTGGAGAGCAGCTGTATTATTAATTTTCCTTTACCCTTCCCCTTCCTATTGAAGGGAATTTACTATGCCAACTCCAGGGCTGGTTGAAGTCCAGATCCATTTTGGGGGCATACTGAGAAGACCAAGGAAGCTTGGGATCCTTCACCTGCATGGCCTACCCTCACACCTCCCCAACCACCACCACCAGAAGGCACCGATTACCATTCTGACATGTGTTCATCACATGTGGTGATGCTTCTGTTCTGCTGCAGTTCTGCTTGCATGCCAAGGCACGTGAGCCCCAAAGGTCCCAGGAACACAGTAACTCACACTGACACAGAATATTTGGTTTATGGGTTCATATAGGCCACAACTTTTATTGGTTACAGATGTGAGCGGTTTGGCTTAGGTTTTGGGGTGAAGCCAGGCTATATATTGACTCCTGTTCATCTGCAGAGAGTCCCAGAAGGGTAAACCACCCGATAACATATGTCAGATAGTGGCTCCCCTTGGGGTCACCGTAGGGGCTGTGACATGGCCCTAGCCCACGCCCAGCCTTCGGATAGTATTCACACTCCAGATACTTTTAACAGGATACCCTTGCTGAGGAGGGGCAGGCAAGGCCACAACCTCCGCTCCGACCAAACACATGCTTACCCAATGCCTAAACTCACAAAAGTTGTGGTGATTGCTACTAGGTAGGCAAAAACCATCACTGCAGATGGTGACAGCAGTCACGAAATTAAAAGACGGCTGCTTCTTGGGAGAAAAGCAATGATAAACCTAGACAGCATCTTAAAAAGCAGAGACATCACCTTGCCAACTAAGGTCCGTATAGTTAAAGCTATGGTTTTCCCAGTAGTGATGTATGGAAGTGAGAGCTGGACCATAAAGAAGGCTGATAGCTGAAGAATTGATGCTTTTAAATTATGGTGCTGGAGGAGACTTGAGAGCCCCATGGACTGCAAGAAGATCAAACCTCTCCATTCTGAAGGAAACCAGCCCTGAGTGCTCACTGGAAGGACAGATCCTGAAGCTGAGGCTCCAATGCTTTGGCCACTCATGAGAAGAGAAGACTCCCTGGAAAAGACGCTGATGTTGGGAAAGATGGAGGGCACAAGGAGAAGGGGACGACAGAGGACAAGATGGTTGGATAGTGTTCTCGAAGCTACCAGCATGAGTTTGACCAAACTGCGGGAGGCAGTGGAAGACAGAAGTGCCTGGCGTGCTCTGGTCCATGGGGTCACGAAGAGTTGGACACGACAAAATGACTAACCAACAACAGGCAAAAACCAAACGGCTGGTGCCAATTTGCCAAGTGGAAAAAATCCCTAGCTGGCCCCCACAACAAGGCGACTGACAACTGTCATAACAAGGTCATATCAGAGCAACGCATGAACAAGGGTGGGTGGGTAGGGTGATCTGAAGCAAAGGCAGAGAAAAATGAACCGGCCGGCCGCAGCATAATTAAATGGCTCGCGGCCACGCCCCCCCCAGCAGATTGGCTGGGAGTGTCCCCAGCATCAATGACGCGGCCGGCAGTGACGTGAGAGGGAAGGCAAGTACCTCCCCTGACACTGGAAGGCTGTTGAGGCTCAGCTGACTGGCTGCAACACCGTACACCCGGTAAAAGGTGAATGGACTTCGGACAAAAGCAACATAAGTTGCCTTGCTATTTGCTGTGGCAGAATTTTACACAACTAATTGTGTAACTAATTACACTGTTCTACACCATTCCTTACAGTGCCACAGAAACACAATGCAAATCGAGGGAGGGGAACAACCTTTGTGGACTTAGAACAACAGTGAATATTGATCGTCAGACCAGGCATGGAGCATGGGTGTTCCATGATATCTTACTATTTTTGTCCCAACTGTTCAATATGATGAGCTTAAGGGGCTTATATATTATTTCTGTCTTTCCGCTGTCTCTTAAATATTTCTAAATAAGTATCAGATGAGTTCTGTGTAGGTGAGCACACATTCTGCATGCAGGAGACCCTAGATCCAAACCCAGGTGTTTTGAGCAAAAAGATTCCTGCATTGCAGCAGGTTAGACTAGATGATCCTTGTGGTTCCTTCCAGCTCTACAATTCTATGTTTCTAAGATTCAGGTAGGGCTGGGATAAACCCTCCTGTCTAAAACCTTGGAGAGGCTTCTGCAAATCAGAGTAAACAATACTCACAACACTGAGTTAAATGGACCAATTGCAGCTTTCTATGCTCAAACGCCAACTTGTGACATGAAATAATGCAGCAAGCTAGTATCCAGCACTGTGTCACAGTCTTCTGTATTCTAAGATAGGAATCTAGGCAGACAACCTGGCTAACTTATCCCAGTGATTGCCCCAGTTACAAAACAAGCTGCATGTAACAAACAGCAAATGCCAATTTAATTAGATTACCCATTTAAAGTAATTGAAAGCATGGTCTAAAAAGGCAATTGCAATCATGAGATACATTAGCAGCTGACCTTAGAATTTATGATGATGAATACTATCTTTGAGTAATGTAGAGCATCATTGTGATGCAATTAGGATGGCTCTGTTTTTCACCTGAATTAATCTCTGAGTATAAAGCGGATCCAAATTGAAATGCTTTTCACCATCTGCTGTCAAACACCCAATAAACATGAAAATCCCACAAAGCCTGGACCTCCCACCACTTTGCTGTGGCACATGGAGGAAACCGACTTAGCTGAAAGATCACACTGCTTGAGAAAGTAAGTGTTCTTCAAAGCTGTGTTCATCACCAAGTCTGGAGAAGATGGTTATGGTTGTGCACCCCCACTGCACTGTTTTATATGTGAAAATAAAATCTCTGCATCTGAAATCTGTAAAATGAGTTTCTTTATTTATTTTTAACAAATGTTTTCTCACAAAGAGTGATTGAAGGCAAGGACAAAGAGCAAGGACAGAAGAACCACGTGAGACATCATAGCAGAACAAGAATGAACTGAAATAGGAATTACAAGTCATGGGGAACAGTGGAACCTACTCTCTGAACACTTCGAAACAGATTGTCAGGATGCTGTCAGCAGTTCCCGGCTGGTTGCCCAGGAAAGTATAAAGACAAGGAAAAGTTTCTTACTGTCCTTTTTTATTTCAGTATTACAGAGAGAGGCTATATAACCCAGCCTCTTGGATAATGGCGCTGTCCCGAGTGAATCTCCACCCCCCTTCTCCCCCACTGCTGCTACTTGCCATCTGTCTTTGAGTTCTTTGCTCTCCTACTTTTAAAGCTCGTCATTCCTCCTCTGCTCAGTGCCTGACACAGATAGAGCAAGTGCCCACTGGATTTAGAAAATCCACAAATCTATTTATAGTAAACTATTATGGTGTTAAGAATAGCCTCTTGGACCAGGCCAGTGGCCCATCTGGTCCAGCATCCTGTTCTCACAGTGACCAACCAGTATAGCTGTCAACATTTTCCTTTTTTTAAGGGAAATTCCCTTATTCCGAATAGGATTCCTCGCAAGAAAAGGGAAAAGTTGACAGCTATGCCAACCAGATACCTGTGGGGAACCCGCAAGCAGGTCTGAGCACTCTCACATTCTATAGTTTCCAGCATCTGGTATTCACTTTTTATTTTTAATATATTTTATTATTAGGGACGCGGGTGGCGCTGTGGGTTAAACCACAGAGCCTAGGACTTGCCAATCAGAAGGTGGGCGGTTTGAATCCCCGCGACGGGGTGAGCTCCCGTTGCTCGGTCCCTGCTCCTGCCAACCTAGCAGTTCAAAAGCACGTCAAAGTGCAAGTAGATAAATAGGTACCGCTCTGGCGGGAAGGTAAACGGTGTTTCCGTGTGCTGCTCTGGTTCGCCAGAAGTGGCTTAGTCATGCTGGCCACATGACCCGGAAGCTGTACGCTGGCTCCCTTGGCCAATAAAGCGAGATGAGCACCGCAATCCCAGAGTCGGCCACAACTGGACTTAATGGTCAGGGGTCCCTTTACCCTTACCTATTATTAAGACTTCAAAAGGACAACAGCACTAGTAAACTGTAATAACAATAACATTACACATGCTAAAGAAAGAAAAATCATCAATATGGCTTTGCAGAAAACCAAGGTAAGCACCAAACAGAGATTGAGGCATACGGCAATAAATGAAAGGGAAGAACACCATCTTCTTAAGCAGGGTTGAATGAAGGGGCCATCCAATGTGTGACTAATCAGTCAAACGGTATGACATATGTATTGCCAGATAAAGTCACCTTTCACTGGGATAAGCGGCTTCTTATGTTGGTTGTTTATGTGTGTCACAAGCACTGGTGCCAACTGGAGGGCGATGGGATCCCTTGCCCCCCCCCCAATAATTTTCTTTTGGGGGCACCCTCCAAAGTGAAAGGTTTAGATAAGTTTTTAGTCAGTAGTACATTTGGTCATTTTCATTGCCTCACCACTTACGAAAGTCCAGGCTGTGTGAGTTCCTTGCAAAACGCAGACTAATAACTGTATGTTTTATGTACCTGGTGGTAGGGGCCATCTTGTCAGAAGGAGGAAGCTTACACCTTAGAGACCAACTAAGTTTATTATTGGTATGAGCTTTCGTGTGAATGCACACTTCTTCAGATACACTGAAACAGAAGTCACCAGACCCTTATACATATAGTGAGAGGGTGGGGAGGGGTATTACTCAGAAGGGTGTTGGGAATGGGTGATTGCCTGATAGGTGTGGTAAACCTGTTGATGACTGTTAACGACTGCAGTTGGCCTAACAGGAAAAAGCAAGGGGTGAGATGGCTAAAAATAGCTTTATCGTGTATAATGAGATAAGAATCTTATGCACTTAACCAACCTGCTTTTACTTTAATCCATAGGCATAATCAAAGTTGAAATATAATCAAAGTTGAAATATAATTGAATCACTTTGACCAGCATGAATAATATCTATTATCCATAGGGCTTAAAAGCACGTAACACAAATTGGAACTTAAAGCAAATAAAATCCTAAAAAAATACATTAAATTATATTTGTTTGTTTATTTATTTATTTTTTAGAGCTGATAATAAAATATGGCTTAATATTCAATAAAAAGCCATCCTTGTTTTTTGTTATCATCGACAGCTCTTTAGCTGTGGAAAGTACAAAATGCGAACTCTTAAGAAGTGTATATATATATATATATATATATATATATATATATAAAAGCTGAAGGAGAGATGGGAGGATGAGGGAAAAACCTGGTTCAAGAGGAGAATGTTGAAAATGTGCTTTTAATTCTAAATGCATCTGGAAGCTGGAAAGCATAATACAAGCGGATTAGGAGATCCAAGTTGTTTGAATGGCTGTGATTACCCTGTGGGGCTCTCTATAAAATTCCAGAAGAAAAGTTGAGGTAGATTGGTTGGCTTGTTTGACAAGAGCACAGCTGAGGTGAAGTGCTTCTCTAATCTTCCCTTTTTGACAGTTCATTACTCACCTCCACTTGCCGTACACACTATATGTGGCCGCCTTTGCAGGTTCTTGTTTAGAGAGAGAGAGAGAGAGAGAGAGAGAGAGAGAGAGAGAGAGCGCCAGTGACACTCTCAATAGACCTCAGGAAAAAAATGTATTTATGATTCCATGCCACGATATCATCTTTATCACTTGGAGCAGGCCGCAGAGGGCAAGCACAGCATGAAGTCATGGAAATCTCTGAACTAAGTAGAACCAAATCTCCTTTCCAGCATATCAAAGCCCCCTGGTTGCTTCCACAGCCCAACCCCATGCATGTTTATTCAGAATTAGCAGTGCAATCCTAAGCATGTTTACTCAGAAGTCTGAATGGGGCCCCCAATTTGAAGTGCTGTTTTTCACCTCCAAAGCTCTAAACCAGGGTTGCCAGCCTGTTTTGGGCCAGTGGGCACATCTGGAATTTTGAGCAAGTGATGTGGGTGCCAGTCAGAAAATGGTTGCCATGGGCGTGTGATATAATACAAAATGGCTGCCACTTCAGAAATAGAAGAAAAAGAGACAGGGCCACAGCACAGCATGGACATGTCCCATCCCCGTCACTTGGGGAAAGATGCCTACGTCAACCATTTTGGGGGGAAATAAGTGCAGTTGAACATATTTCTGACATGCATCAGATTGGCTGTAAGCCTTCCTTTGCGGTCCAACTGCTTATTTCCAAGCAAGCACGCTGGATTCCAGCCTAAGGTTTATTCCTACAGAAAGAGCAAATTATATATAGATAAAATTTCACACTTCGGTTGTCATCTAACCTGACAAACTGAGTTGCTGTCTTCTCCTCTGCTGCCCCCTCCTACCCCCTCCACACGCAATCGCTGGGCTCCGCGATAGTTTTAAATATGCATATATTTTAAATGAATGGGAGCGCACAGATTAGAAGACTTTTATTTCTTCTGCTAGAGTGAGCAATTCTAATTCACGCTACGGCTTTATTGCACAATAACAGTAGGGAGCGTCTGGGCGAGCGTTTGTCATGAGGGCTTAGCACTGCGTATCACAAATTAAAATGCACCCTAAGGATATCTGAATGCCCTTTGGAGTATAGCCCCAACAGCTATCTAAATAAGCGACCAAAAGCAGCTTGCCTTGCGGAGATGCTATGCTTGCTTCTTGGATGGTGAGTTGCTGTTGCCTACCAGAAGGGGAAGTTGGCACCAGATTGGCTCTGCCAGTGCATTGGTGTCGTGCCACCCTTCCCAACACCTCACCCTTCCACTCTTTGTTGTTGTTTAGTCGTTTAGTCGTGTCCGACTCTTCGTGACCCCATGGACCAGAGCACGCCAGGCACTCCTGTCTTCCACTGCTTCTCGCAGTTTGGTCAAACTCATGTTTGTAGCTTTGAGAACACTGTCCAACCATCTCGTCCTCTGCCGTCCCCTTCTCCTTGTGCCCTCCATCTTTCCCAACACCAGGGTCTTTTCCAGGGAGTCTTCTCTTCTCATGAGGTGGCCAAAGTATTGGAGCCTCAGCTTCAGGATCTGCCCTTCCAGTGAGCACTCAGAGCTGATTTCCTTAAGAATGGAGAGGTTTGATCTTCTTGCAGTCCATGGGACACTCAAGAGTCTCCTCCAGCACCATAATTCAAAAGCATCAATTCTTCGGCGATCAGCCTTCTTTATGGTCCAGCTCTCACTTCCATACATCACTACTGGGAAAACCATAGCTTTAACTATACGGGCCTTTGTTGGCAAGCAGCAGCAAATCCACCTGCTGAGAAGCTGATGTAGTGGCTCTGTCCCACTAGCAACCCACTTTTGAAAACCACAATTCCCATGATGCCCTGAGGTATTTCTGAGATCTCCTACCAATGTCATGGCTTTTAGGATCTTTCTTCGTTTTCTGGAACTGGGGAAATGGGCTTTCTCTCTTTCTCTGTAAGAGTAGTTTTCGTTACTGAAAACCGTGCGGGGGTGGGTGGGTTGGGGAACTTCCCTAGCAAAAGAAATTGAAGAAGGGAGGACTACATTTTGAGGATTATCACCACAGGCACTATTCTCTTTCTAACGGCTGCCAGAGCCAGCACATAAACAAGGATCTTCCTGAAATGTCAAAATTCTGCCTACCTACAATGCTGTAATGACATCAAGCTGTAAGTTAGAGGATGGTTCTGTTGCCAGGATTTCTTGCAACGGTCTGTAAACTCAGCCAGATTTCTCAAGTGAGGAAAGAATAGAGACAGCAGTGCATAAAATCACGTTGTAGCTAGCAGCTTTACAATATTATTAGAATACTGGAACAAATTCCCCAACCCCACCACAATATTGTGGAAACTAAAACAGTTCTTAGGGGTGGGGCAAGATGTAGGTATAAAAACACATAGCAGGGAATGAAACCACATGGGAATGAACTGATATAGTGAACTATGTGGCAGAAAGTTTAGTAGCACAATGCATGATAAAAGAATTGTTATCAAAATAGCTTTAACCTTCTTCCTTGGCAGCTCACATACAATATGCTAAAATGTCTGTGCCTGTATATTAGATTTGAAATTGTTCTTATATATGAAATTGTTTTTATTGTTGACGCTTCTGTTTTTAAATCACTTTGAGAGATACATTTTGAGAAGCGATTCATAAATGGAATTAAATAAATAGATAAAAATAAACAAATGAAACTGATTTATTCACAGCCACGTGATATCTATTTGTGATGCATACAGATAAGGACTGCACCATATGTGTATCTGGTAGCTCAGGTTAAATTCTGGATTAATGTCTTCTGGATATAAAGTCTATATAATGAAAAGACAATATTTCACTTAGACAGATTAGAGAAAACAGAAATGAAGGCTTGAGGATGGTATGTTGTATTTTATCATCTTCAGGTTCAGATTATGTTAATAGGTTGTAGCCAATGCTAGTTGTACTCAATAATAGATCCATTTAAATTAATTAACATGATTACCTTAGTTCCATTAATTTCAATAGGTTTACTCTGAGTAAAACTTGGTTGGAGACAAGCCAATAACTTATTGTCAAGACCCAATATGGGAAAATAGATATGTCTTTTTGATAAATGTTTTCTCTTTCAGAAAGAGCCACCAATGAATTCCCACCACCACCACCACGAGAGTTTTTCTGGGCCCTCATGAAACCCAGGTGCATTCTGGGAAATGAATAAAGAAAATAAATTATGTAAGTGGCTTGTATCAACCCCAATAGGCTGTCCTGGGGCTCATGAGCCCTGGCATTTGCCTGGCCAGGCCAGGTGCTTATGCCAAGTCTGGTGTCTTGGCTTGTATAGTTTATCATCTGAATTATATGCTCTAATTTTTTTAGCTCCTGATTCCAGTTTTTGGGGCCATTTAGGAAACTGCTTCATAGCAAGCCCAACTAGTCCATCTAGCTCAATATTTCCACACTGACTGGCAGCAGTTCTCCAGGGTTTCAGTCAAGCGACTTTTGCAGTCGGTATCAGGGACTGATTGGACACAGAGGAATGGTTGGAGGAACCAGCTTGGGAACCTCCAAGGGAAGAAGGCCCAGAGTCTGGGGAGTGGTGCTGGGATGACGATGAGTGGAATTGCTGTGCTCATTAGACCTGACTCTTCTGTGAAGACCCTGTTTTTGCTAATAAAGAGTTAACACCAACTTGCTCAGTGTGATTTACTGCTGGCTCGCTCCTGTCACTTGGGAATGTCAGGGATTGAACTTTCAACGCACTTCATGCAAAGTATTTGCTGTTCAGTTGAGCTGTGGTCCTGTAGATATATGATGCGTTTTATGTTGATGTCACTCCATGAACGTCCATTTTCTTCCATGCCATGCATCTGGGCTGCTGGGATCCACCTTGGCCCATTCAAGGTGCTTGTGCAGAGAAGAAGCATCTCTGAGTCCATCTGTGAAATGCTGAAGAGCAACTATGGAATTCAGGCCACTTCCAGGGTCCCATAAATTGTGCCTTGGGTGTACAGTTCCATCACAGAGGATCATTAGTCTCCATCATGTAAGCATTGCCATTTCCTGGCAAATTTCCCCAAATACCACATCCCTCCCCTAATGTTAAAGGTAAAGGTAAAGGGACCCCTGACCATTAGGTCCAGGCGTGACCGACTCTGGGGTTGCGGCGCTCATCTTGCTTTATTGGCCGAGGGAGCCGGCGTACAGCTTCCGGGTCAAGTGGCCAGCATGACTAAGCCACTTCTGGCAAACCAGAGCAGTGCACGGAAATGCCGTTTACCTTCCTGCCAGAGCGGTACCTATTTATCTACTTACACTTTGACGTGCTTTTGAACTGCTAGGTTGGCAGGAGCAGGGACCGAGCAAAGGGAGGTCACCCCATTGCGGGGATTCGAACCGCTGACCTTCTGATCAGCAAGCCCTAGGCTCTGCGGTTTAACCCACAGCGCCACCCACGTCCTAATGCTAATGCTACTTAAACAGAATTCAGTTTTCTACACTTATTATGGATGCTTCCATCGGTATAGAGTTTTTCAGTATGTCAGAACTTTGTATGCTCTCTTAAAATATTTTGGACTAGCCTTTCAAGGAAGGTTTGCAAATCAAGAGTGTTTATGCAATGAAAGCTAGGATCCCAACAAATATTTGCGCTGTAACTTTGCTTGTATACACAGCCTAAGGGTTTGTACAAAGCAAGTGCCAGCTAGATACGTGTTTCCTTGCACAGTCAAAATGACTACTGTATGTTTGCTGTTACTACTAGCTCTATATACAAATACAGCTTATTTGAGATGGGGGAAAACGCACTGGGAATGTCAGAAACCTAAACTCATGAAAGGTGCTGACCAGAAACTGCAATAATCCTGGATCCCTCAAGGTCACCTTCACCTTGTTAAATATAAGGTGATCATTATAACACTGGCTTATTTATCTCCACCCAGTCCAATGTGGAAGGCAAAGAACTGGCAGTGGGAAAAGAGGAGCTTTATGGACGGGTGAGTTTTATGGCCATTTCCACTTGTTTTGTTTTTAAGTAAATGTGGGGACATGTGTGGAACAGGAACCGTCAGAGGTGGAAAGCAGTCAAAGCACTCCCTGTTTGCAGGGCTGGTGAGGCAAAAAAGTTCAAAATAAACAAACATCTCGGTTGCTGCTTTTAATAATTTCTTCTCAGCTGCACTGGAGTTTATTGTGGCCTTCCTCTGGGAGGACTAGGTTGCTTTGCCAAAGTTAGTTTGACGACAGTAAGACCACTCTACAAGTTTCCATGATATTTTTCCAACACATTTGAGGGATGTGTGAAGAGGATTAACGAACTCCTAATGTGTCAAGGCCTTATTTACAAACTGTTTTTTTCCTGAGTCCTCTGGGTTGCCCTCATGGACTAGGGATTGCATATGGCCCTCCATACCTTTCTATCAGGCCCTCCTTAGGTCATACCCCCTTCCCTGACTACACCCCTCCTTAGTTCATAGAATTTGTACTGCCTGTTGAACCTTAGATATGGAAATCAGGTAACTTAACTGGCTTATTAACAGGGATCTATACAGCTCTCTGGCAGGGCTCTTAACAAAAGCTGGCATTATTTTCTTGTAGTCTGAGGGAAGAAGAGAGAGAAGTGGGAGTCTGGAGACTCAGTTGTGCTTAAGGGTATTAATTCACTGTGCGTGCCTGACTACACTGCAGACCTAAAACCTTGTTTACGCTAAGGCTTTGTTGAAGGTTGATATGGATTAGAGGCCATATGTAATGCACAGTTTACTTGGGATTAAGCCCTCTGAAGACTTAGTTCCAAGTAAATATGTGCAGGATCACGTGATTCATGCTCAGTTGCAGTGAAGCATCACTAAGTCAGCCTAGATTTCTAACCTGTCCTTTTGGTTCTGTTCAAGAATTTCTGACTGAAGTATTCAAATATGGTTTGGCTGTAAAATCTAGGGAATAAATAGAACTACTTCCTTAAAAGCCCCGGAAGGAAGAGGACTCACTGGTCCAAGAAATGAACCAAAGCCCCTTTCCCTAGTTTTCTCTCAGATCCTTATTTCATCTGGAAGCAATATTGGCGATACGCGTAGGAGGCTTCAAAGAACACATTTCTCCCAAGATACCACCCAGAAAAGGAATGAGAGCAGTCTTTCTTTCCAAGAAGCCTGATTAAGTGCCCCTTGTAATAATAGTTACGATAGAATGGGAAGCATCATCATATTCACTACTATGCACTTGAAACTAACACCCATTCGTCAGCTGACATTTATTGCTGCGACAAAACAGCAACAAGTCTTTATCTGTGTCACAGAGCGATCTCTTAAATACTTGCACTGGGGCAACTGCTCTCATGTTATGTCAGTGACTGGCTCAGGACCCCAAACTGGAGGCAATCCACCCTTGCCTCATGGTGAAGACTGGTTACTGGCTGAAACTGAGAGACTGAAAACACTGTCACACCATACTTTTAAATCACATTCTTACATTAATATTTAAATCCAGATACAACAAAAGAACAATTTTATTATTATTATTTATTTCTTTTTAATAACTTTTTATTCAGAATTAAAACAAAACATATTATCCAGCAATATATCATCCTTATTCCCCCCCATTTTCCTTCCCTCCCCCTCCCTTCCCCCACAGAACCCCCCCACCCCCACCCCCCCAACTTCCCTCAGTTCCAGTCTTTGATTTCTCTAAAAATGCTGTTTTCTGCATGTTACACAGTTGTATAGATCCTCAAACCATTTAGCTGATTATTATCAATAAAAAGTTTGTGAATGTTTATTCAAAACCAGCCAAGGAGTCCAGTTCGCTTTGTTGCGTCTTCAAATACTTTGTAAAGGGTTCCCATTCATCTTTAAAGTCACAGTTATCCTTGTCCCATAGCTTGTATGTCAGTTTTGCCAGTTCTGCATAGTCCATCAATTTTTCTTGCCATGATTCTTTAGTTGTGAGGGCGATCTGGCTGCAGCATCTGTCACCCCATTGATCGCCAGGGTTGATTCGGCTGATCTGGCTGGCTAGGCGGGTGTCCCCTTCCTTCCTCACCGCTCCATGTGCGTCCCTCCTGAAGCTGCGCGCTCGGTGGAAGAGGACGACCATCCTAGATAGAAGGCGTGTACCGTTCTTCGGTCAAGGGTATACGATAGCTGCGCTCTCCTGCTAGAACCTCCAAACAATTTTATTATTTATACCCCACCATTCTGGATGAGGTTTCCCAACCACTCTGGGCAGCTCCCAGCAGAATAGTAAAAACATGATAAAACATCAAACATTAAAAAACTTCCCTAAACAGGGCTGCCTTCAGATGTCTACTAAAAGTCAGTTAGTTGTTTCTTTCCTTGACATCTGAAGGGAGGGCGTTCCACAGGGAGAGTGCCACTACTGAGAAGGCCTTCTGCCTGTTTCCCTGTAACTTCGCTTCTCACAGTGAGGGAACCAGCAGAAGCCACTCAGAGGAAGACTGAACGATGGGGGAGGAGATGCTAAATGAAAGGACAATCCGTTTTTCTCAAAGAGGCTCTGGAAGATTAAAAAGAAAACACTTTATTTTTAAGTTTTGTTTGACTTAGTTGCCCACTTTCATTTATGAAAAATCCCAACTCCACCAGCCTGAGGTTAGGCAGGCTATGCATCAAAAACTCCCCTGGGCTTTGTGTTTAGGTTCTGTATTTATTCTAAATGAAGTCAGGCAAATCTTATTTAGCCATTGATGAGGGAACCTCAAAAGCGTGGAGTTTCAGTTTGGATAAACACTGAAATGTTTAGCGATTTGTCTAAATTTAACCTACCACAGATGTGAGGGAATGAAATGTTAGGCATCTAGCAGGGCATTTCTTAATCTGCTGGTTGCAGATGCAAGCATTTAAAGTTCACAGTCCTCAAAAGTTACTAAATTACAGTGGCCACCAAAGTGCACTTTTCCATTGAAGGATATGAAAACCGTTGTTGTTGTTGCTGCTGCTATACTGCCCTTCATCTCAGGATCACAGGACAGTTTGCAATATAAATACATAAAAATATATCTCAAACAAAATCCACCAGCCCCAGTTTAAAAGGCCCTAGATTGTTTAATTAGCCAAAGACCTGGGAGAAGAGGAATGTTTTTGCCCGGCACCTAAAGATATGTTATGAAGGTGCATTGACTAAGACAGCAGCTAGAGTTGGATGTCCTACACCTCTTGCAAATTGGAAGGTGGCCATTTGCTATTGCCAAAATCAAGAACAGCAGCAACACCTCATCTGTGTGAAGTTAAGGCACAGACCGCTAGGAAATGTCTTCCTGCGCAAGTCACAATGAATTTGGAAATGAATGTGAACTCTTGTACAGCTCCTGGTCTTTCCAATGGAACTTGCATAGGAAATGTTCTCAGTGGGTGCCACCCATAATTTTCTCTAACACTAGATCCATTATAACATGGGACTCATTACACAACGCATATGCCTGCAGGCTTGCCAGCACACAGTTTGCCTTACAGACCAGGCTGTGCTAGCCAGCAACCACTGGAAACATTTGCAGACTGGAGCCTAGGACACTAGTCATCATGAAACTCTTGCTCAGGAAACACACAACAGCTGTAAATGGAAAAAAGAGGAAGTCTTTAGTGTAAATGCTCAGAAGTCTTTTCTGGGAAATAAACATGACAGATACAAACACACAGTATTTCAAGATTCCACATTGGTGTCACTGAAAATTGCACAGTGGAGCAAACAAATGCAGGCTGCAATCCTATACACACTTACCTAGGAGTAAGCACCATCGGACTCAATATGCAGACATGCATATACTCACGTCAGTATTTTCTGTTCTGAAGTATCTCGCCTATCGGAAGAGACATCAATGATTGATAACATTTGAAATAAACATTTTAAAGATTGTCGTCTGATTATTTTTTTTTAATCAGTTGACTATCGTGATTTTAAGTGATTAATTAAACCAATTAAAATAAATGCCATAGTTTATCATTACAGATGACATTTTGGATGTGTTTTAGGGATGTGAAGTTATTCAAAGATGCCCTTAATTGATTAGCTGCTTTCCTTTAACTGATTAAAATAAGTAATGATAATGTTTGGATTACTATCACTTGACATTTACTTGACAATAAAGTAAAACTAGTTCACTGTTGGGGAAACCATCTTAACTGATTTCAAGATGTACTTATCTGACAAATCTACCACCTAGACTAAAAGGAAAGTTAAAAAACAAGTTCCTGAAGAGAGCCCTAAGTGTGGAACACTTGATATGGCTGATACAGTTCTAGCCCCCTCAATCTACTCCATGTGAGACAAGGACTTTCACTCCTGAGAAACAGTGGGGCTTGGGGGCGGGGTCAGCATGAAAATTGGGGAGCATTTCATACAGGGATGGAGGACGAGTTTAAAAATTCTAATATAAGTCAATGACATTCCTTACAATCAGAGACACTTGAGATGTATAATTCGGTGCAAATATCAATTGGCTCATTAGCTGGTGCCATTGCCTTCCAATAAATGAAAATAACAGCCTAGACTAATTCTGATCTCCTAGAGGACAAAAAAGAGGGTAGCACAGGGATCCTGAGATTATAAACACATACCATAAGCACTTGCCTTTTTCACCAAGACAGAGGTGGGGAACCTCAGGCCCCGGGGCGTAATGAAGCCTTCTAGGACTCTCTGTCTTGCCCTTGGAACCCTTTGCAGGCTGCACCATCTCTCCCCAGACTACTTGCACCCCAACTGTCTTTGAATGACTGCAACATGTCCTTGAACATTGATAACACCATGCCCTCCAACATTCTGCTGATTAAATCGGGACACACATCTTTCGATGCTGTGTTCCCATGCGAGCCAGCTTGGGCTTCTAACAGCTCTCCTTACAACTCTCAGCACCCTACAGTTCCCAGAATTCTTTGAGGGAAGCCATGACTGTTAAAGTGGCCTCATAGCGCTTTAAATGTATAGTGCGGATGAGACCTATGGAAATAATTATTTTGGTGTCCCCCCCCCCCAATTCCACACTTGCTGATGTCATTTGGAAGCTGACTGAGATGCCAGCCATTCTGTGTTTTAGGTCTCCTGTTCTAATTCAACCCTCTAATGTTTAACTTTCCCTGAACGGTGACTTCTTTTCAGACTTAAACATTCCCCCTCTCTCTCTTAGAAAGCATCTGTTTCCTGGCTCCCTTTTCAGGAGACCTGGGTGGCCCAAGTCTGCACTTGTTTGAGAAACAAACCCTCACCTACTGTTCAAAGCCTTAATTTTTTTATTTTTTAAAAAAATATTGAGTATATATTTTCTTCTCCTCCTCCATGCTTTCTTATTTTTTTTTTAAAGCCTGTAACCAGACTCAGTAAAAAAAGAAAAAGAAGAAAGTATTTCAGACAAGCCAGCTAAAGTAGAAGAAAAATATTCTGAGGAGCAGCATTTAATGTCCTCTGCCCTCAGGCTGGAATCGCGGGTTTGTTTTCGCACAGCTGTGCCATTTGGAATGTCCCCATGTGGCCAAAAGCAGACTCTGTTCTTTCTTTCTTGCCATTTTTCTCACAGATTACAGAAGTTCACACACAGGGATATCTCACACATTGTTTAGCCTTAAGGCTGCCTTCTGTGTGCCTTTAATGGGCACAGGCTGACTCCCCCAAGACGCTCCTGGGCTCTGAATACACAAGAGAGAGGCTTGTGTGAACGAACAATTTTTGTGACTGGATTCCTGACAGACCCCAAGGGCCTAGCCAGCAGTTTACATATTGAGCAGATAACCTCATGTGTGTTCTTTGTTCATTCAGCAAAACATGGAGATAACTTTTCAAGGAATTTCACTAGTTTTAAGTGACAACAGCCCTGCTGAGGCATAGTGTTAAACTATGGTTCAGGATAATGAGAATCAGCTGCAATGAGCCTTGGTCACATGTCTTCTCCTTTCTGCAGATTGGGATGAGTTCAATAGCGTGCGCTTTTTCATTTTGAATAAACCACAGTTTCCTGTTACATTCAAACTTGGGAAACTGTAGATTATTTGACTGTAGTTAGTTAACAAACCAGAATTCGAAACCATGGTTTGACTCTGGCTAGTTTGAACTAAACACAAATCTGGATGCAACAGGAAACAATGATGGATTCAAAACTAGTAGCGTAAGTTTTCAATCTCCTTCTCTTTTTTTTTTAAATGATATTTATTAAAGTTTCAAAGAATACAAAAACAAAAAAATAAAAATACAAGAAAATACAAAATACAGGAAAAAGAATAAAATTTTAAAATATAACAAAAAAAAGAAAAATAAAGAAAAACATACAAGATAAAAACAGTTAAAAACACGTTAACTTTCCATAGCATATCTTCCTTACCCTTATTTCCCCGGACCTCCTCATACCTCCCTTTTTTGTATTCCAGTTCAGTTTGTTAGTTCAGCAAATCCTTACCATTAAGCTTTTACCCATTTGTAAACCTTTTTCCGTATTCTTTTATACCACTACAGCTGGAAACCACTTAGTTTCTATCCAACATCCTTCTAAGATTCATTAATTTTACAATATTTCTGTAAGTAGTCTTTAAATTTCTTCCAGTCTTCTTTCACCGACTCTTCTCCCTGGTCTCGGATTCTGCCAGTCATTTCTGCCAATTCCATGTCTGCCATTCTTCCAGAGTGGGTAGATCTTGTGTCTTCCAATACTTTGCAATGAGTATTCTTGCTGCTGTTGTAGCATACATAAAAAAAGTTCTGTCCTTCTTTGGCACCAATTGGCCAACAATGCCCAGGAGGAAGGCCTCTGGTTTCTTCAAGAAGGTATATTTAAATACCTTTTTCAGTTCATTATATATCATTTCCCAGAAAGTCTTAATCTTTGGGCACGTCCACCAAAGGTGAAAGAATGTACCTTCAGTTTCTTTACATTTCCAGCATTTATTATCGGGCAAATGATAGATTTTTGCAAGCTTGACTGGGGTCATGTACCACCTGTATAGCATTTTCATAATATTCTCTCTTAAGGCATTACATGCCGTGAACTTCATACCTGTGGTCCATAACTGTTCCCAGTCAGCAAACATAATATTATGTCCAACATCTTGTGCCCATTTAATCATAGCAGATTTCACCGTTTCATCCTGAGTATTCAATTTCAACAGCAAGTTATACATTCTTGACAGATTCTTAGTTTTGGGTTCTAGCAGTTCTGTTTCTAATTTTGACTTTTCCACCTGGAAGCCAATTTTCTTATCCAAATTATATGCCTCCATTATCTGATAGTAATGAAGCCAATCTCTCACTTTGTTTTTTAGTTTTTCGAAACTCTGCAATCTCAACTTATCTCCTTCTTGTTCCAAAATTTCCCAATATGTCGGCCATTTGGCCTCCATATTGAGCCTTTTCAGAGCTTTTGCTTCCATTGGTGACAGCCACCTTGGGGTTTTATTTTCCAGTAAATCTTTATATCTTATCCAGACATTAAACAATGCTTTCCTGACAATATGATTTTTGAATGCTTTGTGTGCTTTGACCTTATTATACCATAAATATGCATGCCATCCAAATACATTGTTAAAACCTTCTAAGTCCAAAATGTCTGTGTTTTCAAGAAGTAGCCATTCTTTCAACCAGCAAAAAGCTGCTGATTCATAGTAAAGTTTAAAGTCTGGCAGGGCAAATCCACCCCTTTCCTTCGCATCAGTTAATATCTTAAATTTTATTCTGGGCTTCTTGCCCTGCCAGACAAATCTAGAAATATCTCTCTGCCACTTCTTGAAACAATCCATCTTGTCCACAATTTGCAATGTTTGAAACAGAAACAGCATTCTAGGCAATACATTCATTTTTATCACAGCAATACGACCCAACAGTGAAAGCTTCAAATTTGACCAAATTTCTAAATCTTTTTCACTTCCGTCCAACATTTTTCATAATTATCTTTAAATAAGTTCCCATTTTTGGCTGTCATATTAATCCCCAGGTATTTCACTTTCTTAACCACAGTCAAACCTGTCTCATTCTGAAACCTCTCTCTTTCAATCAGTGTTAAATTTTTCTCTAAAACCTTAGTTTTTAACTTGTTCAGTTTAAATCCTGCCACTTGACCAAATTCTTGAATTAGTTCTAAAACCCTTTTAGTACTAGATTCTGGCTCCTGTAACGTCAATACTAAGTCATCTGCAAATGCTCTCAGTTTGTACTGTTTGGCTCCGACCTGTATGCCTTTAACCAACCGGTCCCTTCTAATCATATTCAGCAGAACCTCCAGGACCGATATAAAAAGCAGTGGGGAGATTGGGCACCCCTGTCGTGTCCCTTTTTCTATCTTAAATTCTTCCGTAACCACATTATTTACAATTAATTTGGCCTTTTGTTCAGAATATATTGCACCTATACCGTTTTCAAAACCTTGGCCTACCCCCATCCCATGTAGGTTCTTCTTCATAAAGCTCCAAGAGATATTGTCAAAAGCTTTCTCCGCGTCCACAAATATCAAAACTGCTTTAGTATTTATATTCACTTCTAATTTTTCCAAGATATCAATTATATTCCTCAAATTATCAGACAAGTGTCTTCCCGGGAGAAAGCCCACTTGATCTTTATGGATCTCTTCCATCAATACTTTTTTCAATCTCTTGGCCAAAATATCTGCAAAAAATTTGTAATCCACATTAAGTAACGATATAGGGCGGTAGTTTTTAAGCTGGGTCTTTTCAGTCTCTGTTTTCGGTATAAGTGTAATATATGCCTCTTTCCACGACTCTGGCGCCCTTTTCCCTTCCAATATTTCATTGCAGACTTCCTTCAAAGGTTGCAATAACCACTCTTTCAAAGATCTGTAGTATCTAGAAGTCAGCCCATCCGGTCCTGGAGATTTGCCCAATTGCATATTTTGTATGGCACCTTCTACTTCCTGTTCAGATATTTTATAGTTCAACATTAATTTACTTTCTTGAGAGATTTTTTGTAGTCCATTTGTCTTCAAAAATTGGTCTATGTCCATTTCTTTCTGTGGCCCTTGTGTGTATAATTGTTTAAAGTAACTCTGGAAGCAATTTCTAATCTCAATTGGGTTATGTATACTCTTTCCTTCCACTTCTAAGTTTGTAATGGTATTTAATTTTTGTCTTTTTTTCATTTGCCAGGCCAACAATTTCCCACATTTGTTAGCTGATTCAAATGTTTTTGTCTCATTTGTTTAATTTTCCATTCTATTTCCTGATTCATCATTTCCATATATTGTACTTGATACAATTTTATTTCTCTCAAAATCTCCTGGGACTTTGGTTTTGCTCTCAATTTCTTCTCCCCTTCTTTTATTTTCTCCAAAATTTTATCTTTCTTCTCGTTTTGACTTCTCTTCTTTATTGCATTCTGTTGTATCAGAAACCCTCTCATAACAGCTTTACTTGCGTCCCAGATTACTCTTTTTTCTACGTTGGTATTCATATTTATTTCAAAGTAATCTCTCAAAGTTTTTTGGGCCTTTTTGTAAACTTCTTCATCTCTAAATAAATTATTTAGAGATCAATCTCCTTCTCTTACTGTAGATGTGGATAAGAAGTTGGGGAAGCACCAAAGTTTGCCATGCCTCAATCTCAAAACATGAAATCATTGGTGGGCGACCTTCAGCCCCATGAGACAGTTTGTGCCAAACCACAGTCACCTGCCATATGTGATTTTAAGTGTGTGGCAGGTAAAGTTGTGACTTTTGCAGAGTTTGAGTCAAGCAACACCCAGATGACTTCAGATAGAGAAGGCTGTCATAAAGGATCCTTTATTGTCCTTATACTTTACCTTTTCCCTAGTTTTCCATGTTTTTCTTGAACATTGTTTATATGCTTCATGCTTCCTGTGGAATTTTCCATCAGGGTTGTATAGTGAAGGACACCGAGGCACTGAACATATTAGTGCTGACACACTGGCGAAGGAACAGAGGTCGAGAGGTCATATAAAAGTCTGGATGCCTCTGAAGATTCTTCAGATCTATGAATGTGAAACACATGCTATTTCTTTCTCTTCGCAAAAGGGTAACTAGTTGGCTTTTAAATTTATTTCTACTACTTGCTTTATTGATTTCATCTAGTAATAATTTATTCCTCATGCTTATTACTCTTTGACTGAAATAGCTCTTTCAGTCATAATTTCCTTTAACAAAAAATTCTTGTTTCTCCAGCCTCCTCATCAGTCAGAAGAGTTTCTCTCATTGAATTTGATCAAATCTCCTACAATTTTAAATATGCCTTGTTGCCCACCAAGCCATCCTTGTCATTATCTTTTTCTTACATGTAAGTTATAGCAGCCATTTTGCTCTACTTGTCTATGGCTGCTTTAATTTCCTAGCTGTATTTAGGAAGCTAGTGCTGGGAGTGCAGTGGGAGGGTATCATTTTTTCCTCTCCTGGGCATTTATTTATTGGGTACCTATCAAAAAAGGAAAAAAAAATGGCAGCATGCTAAAAGTGTCTATAAATTACGCAGCGCTAATTGAACTATAGTGTAGGGTTTTTTATATATGAATCTGTTTTATGAGACTCTTCTATTGTGTTTATACTATATTTTTGTATGCCACTTGGAGATTCATAGATATACTTATATTCAGATTTATTTATTTTTAATTTTTTGTGTTGACTTCTGGGCTGGGGGATAAAAAAAGAGAGGATATGAATTGGCTCCTAAATGTCCACAGAATATTTTGCTATGCAGGGAAATGTGTTTTTAAGGAAATGGTGATTAACGAGTTAACAACTGTTGCAGAAATGGGCCAAAAGAAAAGGATATTTTGCTCCAAATGCTTGCTGTTGCGTGCTGTCACCAAGTGTTATCCCATTAGTACAAATTGCTGCTTGATGAGACCAAGCTGAATCAATATGGTGAATGTCACCCATAAGCAGAGGGGTCAGGTTGCCGGTAGGGAATATGATCCTGGAAACCAGTAACAATTATGAAAGATTAGGTGAAAAGGAAAGGCAACAAGGAATTCAGAGGCTGGCATAGCTGGAGTGCAACATTTATCTTTCAAAAAATGTTAGCAGTTTGCAAATATTAAGCTTAAATATTGACAGCTAAGCTTGAGTTCACCAGTTGTTTCCTGAACCCTTTTATCTCAGCATTCAAAACTAGCTAATTCTTTTTGTGCTGTGAGAAAGGACAGCGGTCAATGGTGCCAGAAACCACCTTCTCCCAATAACATGTAACATTTTTTTTAAAAAATGAATTGCTTCCTATGAAACACCTTGTAGTGATTTAACAACAAAAGCTTCAACTGTAACAAACAAGTACAAAGCAATTTCTTATATAAAAACAATTTCACATCCAATACAGGCACAGATTGGTATAAAAATCTCTGCTTAAAAGGCTTGTGTAAAAGAAAGATGTTTCAGAGCCATCAGAAAAGACAATAGCATATTTTGTTATCCTAAATCTTGACATCACTTCTCTTTTGTGTTTTCTTGCACTCACAATGGTGCTTTGGGCTGCAATTGCTGGTGCTGGGAAGTCCATAACTTGAAGGTGGCAGGACATAGTCTAAGTCATGTGAGACATTCTATTTTCTGTTCTTGTTGCTTTAATAACATTTAGTTCTTCCCAAAGGCTCGTGGGCTGTAACCTTGAGTACACACAGTAGGGAGTATGGCTCACTGACTTACCTCTGCATAACCTTGCCAACAAAGCTCCGTATAGTAAAAGCTATGGTTTTCCCAGTAGTGATGTATGGAAGTGAGAGCTGGACCATAAAGAAGGCTGATCGCCGAAGAATTGATGCTTTTGAATTATGGTGCTGGAGGAGACTCTTGAGAGTCCCATGGACTGCAAGAAGATCAAACCTATCCATTCTTAAGGAAATCAGCTCACTGGAAGGACAGATCCTGAAGCTGAGGCTCCAATACTTTGGCCACCTCATGAGAAGAGAAGACTCCCTGGAAAAGACCCTGATGTTGGGAAAGATGGAGGGCACAAGGAGAAGGGGACGACAGAGGAAAAGATGGTTGGACAGTGTTCTCAAAGCTACCAGCATGAGTTTGACAAAACTGCGGGAGGCAGTGGAAGACAGGAGTGCCTGGTGTGCTCTGGTCCATGGGGACACGAAGAGTCGGACACGACTAAACAACAACAACAACAACAAAAATGTATTGGAGCATAGGGAGGTGCCTTATATTTTAGACCACCGGTTCATCCAGCACACAATTGCCTACATCAACTGGCAGTGTCTCTCCTGGGTTCTGGCAGGAGTCTTTCTCAGCAGTACCTGGAGATGATGGGGATAGAACCTGGGACCTTCTGCATGCAAAGGAGATTGTTGACCACTGAACTATGGTCCTTCATAGGACTACACTGCCAAACATCTGATGGGTCTTACCCTTAAGGAAGCCATGCTCGTTGTTTTTCAGCAAGACTTGTTCTTCTACATGCTTAATAATTTTATCTTTAATAACACTTTCCAGCAGTTTTATTGGAACATATGTTAAACCAATTACACTGTAATTTATCAGATCCCCCCTACATTCCTTTTCAAAATTTGGTTACATTGGCCACTTTCTGGCCTTCGTGAATGAAGGCTGATCTTCGGGACAAGTTACATATTTTTGTCAGAATATCAGAAATTTTATATTTGAGTTCTTTAAGAACTATCAGATGGATGGCATCTGGAGCCAGTGATTTGTTGATTTTTAATTTGTCAATAAGGCCTAGAACTCCATACCTTGTCATTTGCCTCATTTCCTCATAGTCACTTCCTAAGAAAGTTAGGTTAGGCACAGGGATTTGCTCTTCAACTTTGTCAGTAAAGACAGAGGCAAATAATTCATTCAGTTTCTATACAATCTCATTTTTGTCCTTTAGCTCACCTTTGACTCCCTTGTTGGCCAAAGGTCAGCCTTTTGCAGGTTTCCCTTTCTAATGATTTTAATTGTTGGTCTTAATGTTATTTTAGGTAAGTGTTCCTCAAATTCTTTCTTGCTTTCCACATCCGTTCTTGTCTGCTTGCATTATATTTACCAAAGTTTGTATTCTTTTTCTTCTCATTTGGACAAAACTTTCATTTTCTGAAGATAGCTTTCTTGCCTCTAATAGTTTGTTAAACATGACTCCGCTTGTTAACCTTGCTGACATTCTCTTAATCTTGGTAGTACCTTTCCTGATTTGTGGTACAGTACAGGTGAACTAATACCAGTGTACTGGAAGAAGCAAAGATCACCAGTGTTGAAGCGCTGATTCTTCAACATCAATTTCATTGGACTGGTCATGTTGTGCGGATGTGTCTTCCAAAGCAACTACTCCATTCTGAACTTAAAAATGGAAAGCATAATGCTGGTGGTCAACAAAAGAGGTTTAAAGACTGTCTCATGGCAATTTTTTTAAAAAATGTAGTGTAAACACCAACAATTGGGAAACACTTGCCTGGGAGCGCTCCAATTGGAGAACAGCCTTTACCAAAGGTGTCACAGGCTTTGAAGATGCTCGAACTCAGGACGCAAGGGAGAAACATGCTAAGAGGAAGGCACACTTGGCAAACCCTCACCACGATCAGCTCCCACCTGGAAACCAATGTTCCCACTGTGGAAGGACGTGTGGATCCAGAATTAGCCTCCACAGTCACTTACGGACTCATTGTTAAACCGTGTTTATGGAAGACAATCTTACCCGGCTATGAGTTATCGCCAAAGAAGAAGAAGACACTCTTTGTTTTAGCTGAGCTGTTATTGTGGTTTCGAATAACCTTGAAGCATTCTGGAGAGATTTGACCCTTTTGACTTTCTCTTTCAACTTCCTTGACAACAATCTCTTCATTTTTGAGAAGCTTTGTCTTCTGAATTCAAATGTGAGTATGTTGGACTTTATTGGTAAATGCCCACTTGCATATATATTAAAACTAGTAGCACTGTGGTCACTTTTCCAAGTCAGTTCAACAGCACATCCTGGGTGCCACTTAAAATTAAGGGTCTTCTCCCCTCTGGTTGGTTTCACAACCAACTATTCTGCAGCACATAATTTAGGGTATCTAGAAATTTAACCTTTTTGTCATAACTCAAGCTTGCATTTATCCCGTCCATGTGAAGGGAATTGTCACAAAGTACTGCCACATTTCCTTCTTGGGGAATCCTTGATTTCATGTCCCATTTTGGTAGCAGATGACATGCTTTGTATGTAAATGTTTCCAGGTCCAATCTTCAACACCTTCAGTTAAAGGCTCAGTTAGAAGGGGGAGAAGCCTCTTCTGAAGACCCTGGAGAATCTCTACCAGTCAGAGTAGACAGTACAGAGTATGGACTGAACTAAGTAGTATGTACTGAACACAGAGTAGTACTGAACTAAGCAGATTAATAGCCTTTCCTGGTAAAAGGCAGTTTCCTATATTTCTGCATCTGGACCACTCATTAACTTAATTTACAGGCCTGTTGCAAGGCTAAAATGCTACCAGGTATTGGTTGGAAAAAGGTTATATACAAATTGGACAGTGCAACAGCATTAATTTCCACTGAAATAGAGAAATAGACCAAGGCAAAATACCATTGTCAGTTTGAATCTCAGTACTTGGTGAAATTGGCACGTAGGAACAGAAAAATATAAACATGTTTATCCTTAGATTATCTGACATCCTTTGACCCCCTGGGACCCTAGAGTGTCTCACAAGAAATGAACAGTTAGTTAAAATACTAACATCAAATCGAGACTTCCGGGTCAGCGCCATCGGTGAATGGCGGAGTTCCTCCGTTCGGAGGAACGGGCTCCGTGGAAACTGGGTCTTCCCACCGCGGCGAAGGTGGGGACCCGCTAGAAATCCCAGGCGGAGGAAGCCTGGGAACGTGGGGTTCGGCAAGGCACCAGGACGCCCCCCCTACTCGCAGGGAATCCCATTTAGGGGCTCCGGAGCGAAGCGGGGTGAGAAGCGCGGTGCTGCGAACTGACTGCTACTTTCACAGAGTGAAGCCGCACAGCCATTGCCGGAGAGCGCTGACTTTTTCCTGTGGATAATTGGATTTAAAACAAGTACCCGTGAGTAGAAACGGAAAATTGGATCAAGAAATTTCTTAATTTGGTAACAAAGCGGGAAGGTTCAAAACAGGAAGTCTGCCTTCCGCTTTTTGTATATAGACTAAAGCAAAAACTTTGTAAGCTAAAGCCTGGAAAGCTGTCAAAAAGTCTAAATTTTCTTCATTTAGAATTACTGAAACCCCCTTGGAAGCAGGAGAAAAGGGGGGGAACTTTGTTCAACCCTAGCAGGAGAGGGAGTGAAGAAGGATAAGTTTCCACCGTCTCTAACCTGGGAAGGGGGTGTCAGAGACAGAAATTGTTGGAGAGGTTTATGGACTGTCAATGGAATATTTTGACAGATAGCTAAAGAAGAGAAACAAGCTGATTCCAATGTTGCCTTTTGCATCTTAAAGAAACAAAATATCTGAAAAATATCTGAAAAACGAAAGTAATTTTCCTTTGTTGGACTTGCCTAAAAAAATGGATACAAATAGAAATTGCCTCTTCTAGAGGGAGCTTGTCAAATTGTTGCTGCAGTACATTTGAGGGCTCAACAGATGTGAGATTAAGACCGTGGGAACAGGCTTTTCTGACCTTGACTAAAGATGAGTTGGAAAGAAGAATGGGTGCTTGCCTTATGCAAGACAAGTGCCCTGCTGGAACAGATGCATGAGAAGATGGACTTGATGAATGAGAAAATGGATTTGACTGTTGCAGTTAATAACTGTGGGCAAACAGGGAATATTGATACAGAAATTATCCAGGGATCAACTCATGAATCTGTACTGACTGGGCAAGTGCAGAAGATAATGGAGGAGGATGCGGTTGCACCCCAAATAATACAAATGGAGAGTCCCGAGGCCCTACAGGAGCATGAGCCGCTGTTATTGAAGATCGAAGTTGGAGTGGTCCAGGGGGCGTCAGGAGTTGAGGAGGTTCCCGTTGGAGAGACCTTGGAATATGTTTTTAAATACTTTTTGGACTATATTGAGGATTGTGGGGAGTGGGACTGTGGGGAATGGGCGGGTTTGATGAAGGGAGATGGAGACAATTTTGGCTTGGAATCCCCCCAGAGGCCTCAATGAGAAAGGAAAGAAACTAAGAAAGAGACCAACAAAAGACAAGGAAAAGGGCAAGTATAAACAACAAGAAGAAGAATTGCAGAAGGGACATGGAAGAGACTTAAGGGCCTCGGACATAAGGCTTCCAGGTTGATGGACTAGATGGAATGGACAGTAAGGACTGACACGATCCGAGACCAGGAAGAAGGGACGTTGGATGAAGATTGGAAGAAAATTTATAAAGAAAATTTTCTATTTGGTGAATTGGCTAAAAATTAATGAATATTAGGGAAAATGTTGGAATGAAACTATATGACTTTAGCAGAAATGATATCAGGAGTAATGTATATTTGATAACTAAGATTCAAGCTTTAAGGTGTTTTAGGGTAAGATAAAGTTAAATTAATTAAGGTAATGTGAATAATAGAATATGGGGAAAGATGGAAAGGATTGGTTGAGTTAATTATTAGATAAAATTAGGTTAGGATAAATTTTTTAACAAAAATTGAGAAAGATGGAAAGAATTTGCTGAAATAACTAATTAAACTAGAATACAAAAAGGGAGGTGTGAGGAAGTCAATGAAACAAGCAAATGGAAGTTTTAGATATGTAATTTGGGATTTGTGTTTTCTTTTTTCTTTTTATCTTTTTGTTGTATTGTTGTACTGGTTTTTGTGTTTTTTCTTTTTTTTGTTTATTATAGTGTTGTTTTTTAATGTTGTTTTTTCTTCTTATAATTCTGAAAACTACTAATAAATATTATTTTTTTTAAAAAATACTAACATCAAATCAAAACAAGACAAACATCACAAAAACAACCAGGGAGCTTTAATAGTTAAAATTATTAAAATAGAACCACATATGGCACAGTGATTCCAGTAGAACAGCAATGCAAGGAGTAATGGGAACAGCAAGATGAGCCATCTATCAAAATCATACAGCAGCATGCCCCAGCCTAGTGCACTCCACATGCTGAACTCCAGCTCCCATCATCCTTGACCAATAGCCATGCTGATTGGGGATGATGGGAGTTGTAGTCTCTCCCCCCAACCCCCCCTCTCAAACCCTGAGGGGCATTACATTGGGGAAGGCTGGGCATGCATATCTATGGTATGACAAGGTCAAAGCACATAAAGCATTTAAAAACCACATTGTCAGGAAAGTGCTGTTTAATGTTTGGATAAGATATAAGGATTTATTAGAAAACAAAACCCCAAGGTGGCTGTCACCAATGGAAGCGAAAGCCTTGAAAAAGGTCACTATGGAGGTCAAATGGCCGAAATATTGGGAAATTTTGGAACAAGATGGAGATAGACTGAAATTGCAGAGTTTTGAAAAATTAAAAAACAAAGTGCGAGACTGGCTTCATTATTATCAGATAATGGAGGCATTTAAATTGGACAAGAAAATTGGCTTCCAGGTGGAAAGATCAAAATTAGAAACTGAACTGTTAGAACCCAAAACTAAGAATTTGTCAAGAATGTATAACTTGCTGCTGAAATGGAACACTCAGGATGAAACGGTAAAATCGGCTATGATTAAATGGGCACAAGACGTTGGACATAACATTATGTTTGCTGACTGGGAACAGTTGTGGACCACAGGTATGAAATTTACAGCATGTAATGCCTTAAGAGAGAATATTATGAAAATGATATACAGGTGGTACATAACCCCAGTCAAGCTTGCAAAAATCTATCATTTGCCCAATAATAAATGTTGGAAATGTAAAGAAACTGAAGGTACATTTTTTCACCTTTGGTGGACGTGCCCAAAGATTAAGGCTTTCTGGGAAATGATTTATAATGAATTAAAAAAGGTATTTAAATATACCTTCCCCAAGAAACCAGAGGCCTTTCTCCTGGGCATTGTCGGCCAAATGGTGTTAAAAAAGGATAGAACTTTCTTTATGTATGCAACAACAGCAGCAAGAATACTCATCGCAAAGTATTGGAAGACACAAGAACTTCCCACGCTGGAGGAATGGCAGATGAAACTGATGGACTATATGGAACTGGCGGAAATGACTGGCAGAATCCGTGACCAGGGAGAAGAGTCGGTGGAGGAAGATTGGAAGAAATTCAAAGACTACCTACAGAAACACTGCAAAATTAAAGAATGTTAGAGTGATGTTGGATTGAAAATAAGTGGTTTCCAGCTGTATAGGATAAAGTTATAGTTAGACTAAGATTAAAGATTAGGATTAAAGAAATTTAACGAAATGGAAATTTGGTACTTAAGAGGTAAAATTTTAATGCTATATTATATTGAGATTAAAGATTGGGATTAAAAAAGTGGAAAAGAAATTGCTGGACAAACAATTTGGACTGGAATACAAAAGAGGGAGGTATGAGGAAGTCCAGAAAATAAGTAAATTTAAAAACGGAAATGAAAAGGTGATATTGTTTTTAATTGTTCTGTTTCTTTTTTTTTGTTTTCTGCTCTCTGTGTTTTTCTTCTTTTTTTGGATTATGTACTGTGTATTTGTGTGTGTGTTTTTTTAATGTTTTTCTGTTTAACTTTTTACTGAAACCTTAATAAAAATTATTTTTTTAAAAAAAATACATTGGGGAAGGCTGCCTTACAGAATGGCCTTCTGGATCAGTGAGTGATTATTTAGCTGAGTATTCTGCTTGCGGACCACCAGATGTCTCTGGAAAGCTCAATAAGCAGGGAACAGTCCCCACCCAATCTGTACTCTATCCTATGCAGGTGGAGAGTGCAGGTGGAGAGTGTATTCCATGCAGGTGGGGAGGGCATCTAGGGTGTAAAACTGGGACACGAGGTAGCCTACTGGGAGATACATGGGAGAGTGTTTCAAAATGCTACATCCTGTGACACCTGCTGTAGCTAAACACATATTCTGCTTGCTGGCAACTAATACAATTTGCATCAGGATGTTGGATGCCATGTCCTGCTTCGCCAGTGGAGATTTCATGCCAGCTGTGGTGACCAGCATTCGTGGCATCTTTTGCCCCAGTGGAGCAGTCATAAGGCTCTCAAAAATATGAGAAATGAACGCATAATAAATTCACAGTTCTCAATTACTTGTCTTTTTCTTCTTTTTTTAAACTAAAGATTTGAATACATTGCTTCCTCCAGTTTTCCCTTGTGGCAGAAAGGGACTAATGCTATGAAAGAGACTTTTCTTTTTAAAGAAGAGATGATTAAGAAGACGATGAAGAAATCAGCTGGTGCTCCAACCACTTTGGCCATGAAAAATGATTTTTGTTTAGTAGTTTTCAAATACTATTGAAAGTCTGGTTGCTTGTTGTTTCATCACTGACATAAAAATAAAACATAGCTGATTAAATTGCATCCATGTGGGTCTAATATTGTCATTATTTTTATTTTTCATATTTGATATTGGATCAGGACCTGTATAAAAATCCCCTATGGTATTGCTTTATAAATGATTTAAATCTACCCGGGTGATAAAAAAGGTGGATGATTTTTTTTTTTAAAAAGTGTCAGGGAAGACACTGGAGGTGTCATTCATTTTAACTCATTCAGTCCAAACCTGCCAGGCATCCTCATTTGTTCTGCCAAGCCATTTTGGCTAAGCCATGCTTACCTGCCAATCACCTGATGCATAGGCACGTAGAAAGAAATACAAAATATTATGTTTTCTCATTTTGCATTTTTCTGTTGTGAACTGCCCTGGGATCTTTGAATGAAGGACTGAATAATAATAATAATAATAATAATAATAATAATAATGCAGGGCAGAAAGGCACTTCAGAAGCACTGCATACTTATCTCCTATTAGTGGGACTTCAAAGTGCAGTGCAGGGCTGTTTGCAACTCCCTTTGAAAATAGCCTTGTGCTGTGCTTTAAAGTCCTGATAATCAGCTGACCTTGGGGGCTTCAAAGCACCATACCAGTCTCTTTGCAAGCCCCAGGGTGGCAATTTGGAGTCCCTATGATCAGCTGATTGTTGGGACTTCAAAGCACCATGTCACTTGACATCGTTGTGACACCCGGTGATTAAAAGGAGGGTGAACCCCACCCAACTGCCTAATCTGGCCCACGGACAGGGGAGCAGGGGAGATAAGGCTCTGGCTGGATCCAGTTCCCTACTCCTTGTATAGACAATACTGAATGAGATGCACCAGTGGTCTGACTGTATAAAATAGCTTCTTGTGTTCCTTTGACTGGCTCCATCAGTGATCTGACTCAGTATAAGACAGCTTTACTGGTTCAGAACCAGTTTCTTTAGCCGAAAGGTTGTTAGGTTAAACTCTGGGGGGGAAGCATAGATTTTTTTATTTTATTTTTTTGCTTATTGCACAGTTGTTCTGATGGTTTGGTGTGGTCCTTCTGAAAGCTAAACAGCTCCTCTGTGCTTTCTAGGTACTGACTCCCCAACCATCAAGCCTGATGTGCAGCCAGTTTTTGCAACTTAAAGGATTATGTGAGAAAGACTGTAAAATATCAAGCATGTTCTCCATCAGCCAGGAAGTCTACTAGAGCACACTCCTGAGAAGGAAACTGTGAAGCTATTGTCAGAGGCCTCAGCTGACCCCACTCTTGGAATCTTTTCAACCACCTGTTAGTACCTTGGCAAAGAGAATGGACTATGAGGAGCAATGACTGAAGGGGCTGCTCAGGAGGTCTGTGCTAACAAAAGCCTTCATAAGAAAGAGAGAGAGATGAATTACGAATCTTGAAGAGTGATCCATGGAAACAGGTCGTCTGATTAGGGTTCGGGTAACAAATTCCTAGGCTACGGTAGGTTGCAGTATGAATGAGTGGTTTTTATTACGAGCCACAGCACAGAAGAAGTGGACTGCAAATGGAATCCCAATTAAAGGTTGCTGCGGAATTGAGTATATGAGTTTTCTGTCCATCTGTATTTAGTTCAATCCAGTTGCTAACGAGGGTGAGGTTGATCTATACCGTAGTGTAAAATATAATTTCAGCAGATCTTGCAAGGATGATAAAATCTCCATTTGCCATATCAGATTAGATTAGTTCACATTTAAAGGTGAACCTGCCAAATTTGCACTTTGTGGACAATTGGCAAACCAAAACACAACCATTTTTTCCAAATTCTCTGAATTTTGCAATGCAGCTCTTCAGCCTAGTAGTGTGCACAAAAATGCACATATTTGTGGCCATAACTTGCAAATATGCAATATATTAGGGGAAATTGCTTTGCAAAAATGTGCAAATTAGGAGAAATTCACACTAAAAAGCTGATGTATTTTCATGAGAACTTTCTTAAAAATTGCAAATTGATTCAAAAATGTGGAGAACTGAACCAAGAACTGGAAAAAAGAGAAATGATTCATCCATCATTAGTTCTGATAGCCTAATCATTTATGAGCTGGTGCAGAAACCCTTAAGGCTCAGACAGAAGAATTATGTGTAACCAGCATACAGAACCCCTGTAAACTGGCCCAGTGGAGCCCAGCCTGGCTCTTCTATTTTACCACACATCTCCTGCCTGGGCTCTTGCTTCCCTCCTTGTCCCTGCCCATTTCTCCTCTCTTTCATTGCTTCTCTTCATTCATTGGGTCTGCATACTCAGCCAAACACTGTCTGAAAATTCTGAGAAATTTCATCTGGGTCTTAGTTTCCTCTCCTCTGTTCCAGTTCCTCCATACCCTGTCTCTCACCACTCACAACAAAAGTAACCTAGAAGTCTCTACAATCCACCACAACCCACTTGGCAGTCATCACTGAATCACACACATGAATAATCTACCAGCCTCTCCTGTTATGAATGACGAACTGTGCATCTTGTCTCAGTCTGCACAGGCTTGAATCTGCATGTGGCACTCTAGGCTTAGGAAATTGCTGTGCCTCTCTCCAAAGTAAGTTTCGGAAGGGTGATTCCTGCTGCTACAAAATCCACGGCCATCAGGATCATCTCACCATTTCCCTCCAAATGTTTTCAGCCTCCGAGCCAGTTTTCCCACCCCTGCCTGATCCGTATTTGTGTTACTTGAGGTCAGTTATTATAAACCACCATTCGCTTCTCAGGAATGCAGTAAATTCAGCGGCTGTATAAATGGAGTTTCTATCGACGCTCACAGCTCTCAGGCTTGCGACCGCCAGTAATCCCCCCCCATTCCAGTCCTCTGCCCCCTTCTCCCTTTCTCCTTCCAGCATTAATGGTTTCCAGCTGTGTGTTCTTTGGATATGTCCCTGCATCGGCTTTTTCCATAATGTGGAGCCAGCCCACTTCCAAATCCCAGATGTGCTATTTATTTACTCTGCAGCATCTGTGTCTCGCTACGGTCCTGTCACTGCAACGTGGCAAACTTGTGAAAAATCAGACTGGCAGCCAGTTAACAAGCTGCATTACCCTGTGAGAACATTTCAAAGGAGAAAGTTAAAAGCCAGGAAAGGGTGTGTGTATGTGTGTGTGTAGGAAAGGAGGGAGGGAATGATGGAAATCAGGAAGAAACAGACAATGTTTTTTTCTGTACCATGTTTTACAAGGTTACAGATGACTAGTAGTGACATTAACGTTGGAAGCCGGGGATTTTGCTCTTTTTGAAGAGGGTGCTGGAAACCCAATAAAGTCTATAGGAAGAAGGATGCATCTAACCACTGCCAAGGCAAGCATCTCATTACTAACTATTCCCTGGTCCAGACGCATAAATGGCACCTTCATGCAATCTATTGCAATGTAGGCAAGTGAAAACTGGAAAGTGAGCGAGAGCCCCCACAAATCCTCTGGCTGCACACACACCATAGATTTAAACAGTGCTTCCCCCCCTAAAAAATGTTTAGGGGTACTCTCATTTTCCTACTCATATTGAAATACTGCCCCTCAATGAGGTCGAACTTAGATTCACAAAATGTTCAGGGGGTATGTGTACCCCCAGAAAAAAGCACATGACCTCCCCCCCAAAATCCTGGGAACTGTAGTTTGTTGAGGGCGCTGGGAATTGCAGCTTTGCAAGTGGTAAAATACAGCCCCCAGAATTCTTTGCGGGAAGTACTTTAAAAATATGGTGTGTGTGTCTGCAGTTAAAGCACCTTGGCAACAGATAAGCCAGCTATGCTTGCACTCAGGCCTCTCATGCTAGCTCAGGATAGTTCAGACTAAGTGATAGTTAATAGCCACATAACAGCTGTATTTGGGTGTTCCTTCTACTTTCATTGAAGCAAATAGGTGAGTGGGAGCAGGGGCAGGCTAGCAAGTCACATCCCTTCCTGCAGGACATCTCTATCCTTTAGAACCCTCAATGAGTTTGAGGACAAAGGTGTCTTCTCTATTCTTGGAGTCCCCTTGTCCAATTTAGAGCCTTGATTTTGTCCTCCAGGCAACATGGCAGAAGGTGTAGGGATTGGCAGTACACCTCTACTCTGTCTCATATATTTCTTTTGATGCAAGTAGATTGAATGCCTGGCTAGGGGTAGTAAGGTAATGACAGTGGTAGGACTTGATCCATGCTAACTATAGGAAGGCTAGATTTTTTTTTGTCCAGGATTGTCTACTCTGACAGGTAGTGACTTTCCAAGATCTCAGGATGTTTCTTTCACCTTACCAACTTCCTAATCCTTTTAAGTGGCGATGCCCAGGTCTGAACCTGGGTTCTCCTGCATGCTAAGCATGGGCTCTACAGCTGAACTATAAGTCTATAAGAGTTTAAGTATTTCTCACTTCTTTTTTGGTGCATGTGCACAATATTCCTTAGAAGTGTCAAAGTATGATGGCAACATGGAAAAGTGTGTTGGGTATAGCAGGCAGTCAAGTTTGGCCATTGCTCCCTCTAAGATGGAGAACAGAAGGCAAAAAAGGGACCCGCAATGGCAAAACCAACCATGAAATAGCAATAACCAATAGTGTTATATTTTCACAAAAGTTATCCAAAAGCACATTATAATGTTGTGAATATACAACAAACAAGAGCAAAAGCTGAATGGTGAATGCAGTTCTGCTAATCAAGGTCTACAGTCCACATCTGAAGATGTTCTAAAATCCATCCACGCTGACATTCCTTAGTATTCTGAATCAATCTCTCTTGAATAAATATGACTGGTCCACCAATCCATTTCAGGTTATTCTTTATTCTCACAGTTCACCCCTTTCTCCTGTTTTTGTTCTGGGTATTATGACGCACAGTATGGCATACGAACATTTCCTACCATGTAATGTGGGAAACAGACTAGACCTTCTGGTTCTGAATATAATGAACTGTGACTCTTCCGTGTTGACTTTGTGAAACTCTGTTTTGGTGTTTCCTTGCTGTCTCCTGGGGCAGGCAAGGCAAGGGGGGATATTTGAAAAGTGACACTCAGGGCACATGCCACTAATAAATATTCTAGTTTTATTATAGGATGCTAAGAATTAAACACTGATAGAAACTTCCTCAGAAAAAGTCAGGACAACAACAGTACCAGTGTTTGAAATTTTGGCTCAGACATTTTGAACCAAGATGATAATGATGATTTTTACAATGGCACCAGGGCTTAAGGTTCCATTTTATTTGACCCTCGAGACACATGTTTAAACAGATGTCACAGTTGTTAAAAAAATGGAATTGAAGTTTCAGATGTGGAAGGCCAAAAGTCAAAACTTTATTAAGGTCGTCACCCCAGAAACAAGATATTCTGTAAATCTGAAATACCTTATATAATCTGACTTCAGTTTAGAAGTTGTTTTTCCAAATTTAAAACACAACTAGTTTCAGTAGTTTCAGGTTCCACAATGCTCAAGCCAAGTGTCCATAATTTATGCCCCAGATAAATCAGGATGTGTACGCATTGTGCGATAATGTTCATTCAGTGCTGGATGCAGGTGCTGTACAAAAGTTGTAGTCCAAGTTGCAACTCCACCCACCCCTAGGCAGTGGCTAAAGTAAGGAGTGATGAAATGATTTGGATTAAAAATGGCCACAACTTTATTGATTACAGATGTAGGTGGAATTTGGCTCAGGTATTGAGAAGATATCAACCCCATGGTGTCCTTATCCTGCAAATATCTATCATCTATCTATCTATCTATCATCTATCTATCTATCTATCTATCTATCTATCTATCTATCTATCTATCATCTATCTATCATCTATATCTATCTATCATCTATCTATCTATCTATCATCTATCTATCTATCATCTATCTATCTATCTATCTATCTATCATCTATTTATCTATCTCTGTATGTCTGTAGGAATACTAATTGATGGGAGAGGAATAGAGAACACCACTGTGTACTAGGTGGATTACATGCCCACCTGTGTGTGCAGACAACGCAGACAGTAGCTGCCAGTTTAGATGGCTTTATTGCAGGAAGGTGTGTAGAATGGCTATGCACAAAAGTGCATTGTGAAAAAAATCATCCCTGTGCATTTCAAAGGCTATGTGTGTACACAGCTTAGATTTTAGTAGGGTGGCTAAAAGGAGGTAATTCTGGCCCTAACTGCTCCCCTATGAAAAATTTCACCATACGCCACTGGTACTGTTACACTGAGCTGCTGCCCGAATGATAGTTTTGCATATGTTGTAGAAATGGTGAGGGTTGGGGAGTGAGAAACACCAATTTTTGTGTGCGGCCTCTTCCCTCTCCTTCCCATTGAGGCAGCATGCAAAGTGATTCTGTCATGGCTGCTTTTCTGCAATCAGATTTCATCTGTCTGTGCCTTATAGATGGATATATTTACTAGCTTTTAGTTCTTTGGTTCCTTGTTGAATAACTATGTTTGCGCTGAAGTGCTGCCCTGACTGCAGAAGGAGCAGCTTGGGGATTCTGTCAGTCAAGGTATCCCTTGTAGCACTGCAGTAAAACCTGAGGTTTAACTTTCAGGACCTGCCAAACTGAATATGTTCTGGGAGCTGTGCCCTATCAATTGCAATATCACCAGAGATCCTGGAGTTTGCTAATGTCAGATTGTGCAGTTTCAAAGCATGGAACAGGCATACATCTTGGGCTGGACAGCATATGCCAGCTTCTATATATATATATAGAGAGAGAGAGAGAGAGAGAGAGAGAGTTTTGAAGTGCTGGGAATCAGATCTATAGAGAAAATGTAAAAACAAAAACAAACAAACAAACAAACAAACAAACAAACAAACAGGTTTGCTATATAAAAATGTCTTTCTTGGTAGAAATTCAGGAACTGAAAGGCAGTCAACTCCAAGAAATGTTCACTTCTCCACACCCAGTGCAGTTCTCCAATCAAAATGATCCAATGCAAAAAATATTATATTAGAAGAAAATTGCTTGTAAAAAGCATAATGGGTTATATCAGGGGAAGTGCACATTAGAAGGCAGATGAACTTTCAAAAATAAAATTTGAATGCTGGTGAAGAAATGTGGAGAGTTGACTTTAAGACTGGGAGAAGACAATTAATCACCACATAATTATCTCTGTTGGTAGAGTGTCAGCAGTAGATGACTAGTCAGCCATCTTTCCTCCCAGAAGTTCCCAATCATCAGCACTTTCAATTGTGCCCAGAAGATTGGTAACCAGGATTGGTGTGACATCATCAAGCACCCACCAACATCCTTGATGCTGCATTCTGGACCAAATGATTTTTCTGAAGTTAGCCTCTTATAGAGTACCACTCTTGTATGGAGAGTGGGATGAGGGCTAGGTGAACAAATGACTTCTCAAGGGGCCGAAGAGAGAGAGAAATTCAATAATTTACCGGGCTGCATAATGCAAAAATAAAGTAAAATGCAAGCTATGTTTATAGGACTGCTATTATACTGGGCCTGGCTATACTTGAAAAACAGACACTATGATTCTGATGGATTGTTGTCACATAATGGAAGACTGGGAGAAGAAACCACATATTCAAATAGACTTGTGAACGTCGAACCATACTACGTCGCTGATTGGGAAATCTTTTAATATTTTATCTCATTCCGCACATGATATAGGTCTTCTCATCAAGTATCTTGCTTTCAACTGGAAAAGGAAACAAAGCAGAGAGTCCAAGGGATGATTGATCAATGCTTATATCTTATCCATAAATACAGGAAAAGTCTTATTCCCAAATGCACTCCTTTAAAACCTTTCCCACTGGGCAACAGCCTCCCTATCCATTTCTAACATTATATTAAAAGTCTGCATGAGTGTGGCTAATTGTTGCCTGGACTCTTTGAGATAAGCAAAGTTCTTGGGCCCATACCAGCTAATATGCAGTCGGCTGGAGGAATATTCAGCAGAGGAACGTGTGTGTGTGTGTGTGTGTGTGTGTGTGTGTGTGGCTTAACCCTTTCCCTCACTTGATACTTGTTTCCTACCCTCTAGCTGCTTTTCTTCTACCAGAAGACAAGTCCCATAATCTGTCCCAGCCCCTCATGCCTGGGAAAGTAGCTTGGGGGTGCTGCTGTGTGAAAATGGTGTGAAGAGCAATAATTAAGAAGATCTTCCATCTCACTTTTTTGTTTTCTGCTCCTGGGTGTAGTCTCTGATGCTGCTTTTCAGTTTAAAAACCAGCAGAGTGAAAACAAAGCCCATTAGGAGCCTTTTAACATGGCTCCTGAACATTGGTTAGTTTGGCCCAGTGAGCCAGTATGGTTCATTAATTGGACCAGCGGAAGCCATCTTACAGGAGATCAGAGCTATTCCTCCCTCTAGGCCAGTGCTGACTACTCCGACTGGCAACAGCTTTCCCTGATCTCAGACCAAGGTCTTTCCCATTACCTGCAGCATGGCCCTTTTTAAAAACTGGAGATGCCAGGTATTGAACCTTTGACCTTCTGAATCCAAAGCATGTGCTGTGACAGAGCTATGGTCCCTTCATTTAAAAGTGAGGTGAGATTACATCTGGAGACCCCTGCTGATTCCAAGCCATAAAGGTAAAGGTAAAGGGACCCCTGACCATTAGGTCCAGTCATGACTGACTCTGGGATTGTGGCGCTCATCTCGCTTTATTGGCCGAGGGAGCCGGCGTACAGCTTCCGGGTCATGTGGCCAGCATGACTAAGCCGCTTCTGGCGAACCAGAGCAGCGCACGGAATAATAATAATAATAATAAATTTTATTTAAATCCCACCCTCCCCAGCCAAAGCCAGGCTCAGGGCGGCTAACAACAATAAAACACCGTTTACCTTCCCGCCGGAGCGGTACCTATTTATCTACTTGCACTTTGACGTGCTTTTGAACTGCTAGGTTGGCAGGAGCAGGGACCGAGCAACGGGAGCTCACCCCGGTGCACGGATTCGAACTGCCGACCTTCTGATCGGCAAGCCCTAGGCTCTGTGGTTTAACCCACATCGCCACCTGCGTCCCTTATTCCAAGCCATAGTCATCTGTTTTTCTTGTGTGGCCTAAGAAAGCCCTATAGCCCTCGATATGTTTGTTGGACTACAATTCCCATCATCCCTCACCATTGCCCTTGCTGCCTGGGGCTTATGGCAGTTGTAGTCCAGCTACCTCTGGGCCCCATCTGCACTATACATTTGAAGCAGTATCATACCACTTTAAACAGCCACACTGTAAACAGCCACAACTCCTTGGAACTATAGTTCATTAAGGGTGAGAAGAGTTGTTAAGAGACTCCTGTTCCCTACTCAGAGTGGTTTAATGGTTGATCTCTCTTCCCAGAGAATTCTGAAAACTGTGGCTCTGCGAGGGGATATTTTGGATATTCCGAAGGAGGAAAACAATCTTCTCATGTAATATAACAAAGGGCATATCTAGTCTACAGGCTTATATCCATTTTATAGCCCTTTAACTTTCATGGCCTTCTCACAACCATTCCAGAAACTGTAGTTTATTTAGGGTGCTGAACAGTCTGTTAGAGATCTCTAGGACCACACTCAGAACTATAGTTCTGTCTGGATAATGCTGTTATACAGTTTAGTCACTAGGTGGCACTGGATTTATATTTGAGTATTACAGTGGTGCCTCGCCAGACGAAATTAATCCGTTCTGCGAGTGTCTTCGTCTAGCGGTTTTTCGTCTTGCGAAGCAACCCTATTAGCGGCTTAACGGATTAGCGCTATTAGCGGTTTAGCGGCTATTAAAGGATTAGCGGATTAGCTGCTAAAAGGCTATTAAAGGCTTAGCGGCTTAGATAAAGGGGGGGGGGAAGCGAAAAAAAAATCTCAAGACTTGCAAGACATTTTCGTCTTGCGAAGCAAGCCCATAGGGAAATTCGTCCTGCGAAGCAACTCAAAAACGGAAAACCCTTTCGTCTAGCGGGTTTTCCGTCTTGCAAGGCATTCATCTTGCGGGGCACCACTGTATTCTTATTTTATTTATTAAATTTGTATACCATCCTTTATCCGCAGATCTGAGGGCAGTTAGCAACCTAAAAATACTATGTAAAACGCAAAATGCATGATAAAAACAGGAACCAAACACAAAACGAAACCCCAAACCAATAACTCCTTCCCCCACACCCTCTGTGTCTGCTTTGGTCCATTGTTGGAGAGAAGCAAGGTTTTTGTTTACCCTCCTGGTTGATGCGTCCTCGAAGCCTTTCCATGATAGTCCTGGGATTTGTGTAAAGAGAGTCACTATTAAACTAGGCTAAGTCTGTGATGCAAATAAAATGTCCTTAGGGTAAGATGATAGTTCTTTCTTTCCCTTACATTATGAAAACTGAAGAGACCCTTCCTAAAACTGTGCATTATCAGATAGCTTTCGCCTGGCACCTTGAGCTAAAGCTTCAGTTTTTTCTTACTTGGGACATTTCTTCCCTGGTTCACAATAGTCTGGTGGTTCTTTAGAGAGCGGAATTGTTATATGTTTTTTCTTAGGAGTGACCATTATTTCTTGTTTTTCAGCTCAGGTGTCATGTCAAATATTTTCAGGGATGTGTTCTGCCTTTGGGGGATAGCGAGATTGTTCTAGTAAGCAGCAGCTAGCACCAAGTTCCATCATGGGGCCAGGAGATGTTTCCCTTTCTGTTGGGAATAAGTTTTATTTGGTTTTACTGTCTTCCGGTTAATGGACATAGCATGAAATTGGTTAAATTTAATGGAGAAACGTCTGCAAGAAATAAATGTGTCTTTTCTGTCACTCTTTTTGATTTTATTTTATTCCAGAGGGCTTTGCAGATCTGACCTGTAGTGATTTTGCCTTTATTTGGTCCTTGCTCAGTCTGAAACAAATGGCTCTTTTCAAGCCATCCCCACCTATTCTTCTCTTAAATGTATTGTCTGAGAGGTTTTTTTGCCTCCAGGGCCTGACATCATGGAAAGAAAAACAGACAAAGCAACTTAACCAAAATCCCTCTTCCTCTTCCTGAGGACTTGGCTTTCATTTCTTTCTCATCCTAAACTGGTGTTTTGTTTTAAGTTTGCTTCTTTCTACAACAAAATGTTTGAAAAAGCCAGGGTGGGGGAATGTGACATTTTCGGTGGCTTATGTAATTACTAGAAAAACAAATTGAAAGCTTTTGTCTGCACATTTTAACTGCAGTTTAATCATTCTGGGCCTAAGGATTGACAATTATAGGTAAAGTAGAAAACACTTTTTGAAATTGTTAGAGAAGGTTTATTCAAATCATGAGCTGCTCTTCCATTTAAAATGTGGCTTGCCTTTTCAGATTACCTTGGGTGAGAAGGTGCCTTGCCTTTTCGGCCCTCTTAAAAATGCCCGTTTGTTTCTTGTTATCTGGAATGAGTATATCTGGCAATGCAAGTGAAGCTTTAAAAACAAGATCTTTAAAAAATAATAATTATTGAGGACAGTAGGTGTAACATTTTAGTTTTGACACTGCGAGGGATTTTGAACTGTGTGTAATCAGCAGAGGAATTGTGAAAGCTTTTACGGAGTGTGATGTTTTGCAGTTGTTTTGTAAGAAAAATCCTACTGTGAGGAAGTCAAAGGAAGAGCTTGTTTTCTGAAAGCTTAATGGCTGATAAACGCTTATTAATTTTAAATTTGCGCTCATCGTAGGGCTTGAGGACATTAAAAATCTTGCATTCCTCCCACATAGTCTCAGTTATCAGCAGACACTAATTCCTGATTTGGAGACTGCGGTGTGGCTGGCATGGGCTGCGCAATCCACAGGAATGGTTTCCCTCATGCCCAGTTCCCATGCTCTTGATTCTGCAATATGGTGCTGATTGAATCGGGTTTGTGGGAAGCCATGTTTAGATAAGCCAGAGGTTGGGAACATCAGAGCCAAGGGGCTGAATGCAGCTCACCAGGCCTCTATTTTGGCCTCAGGACTATTCCTCAGGGGCACACCCTGTCTCCACCACCCTGCTCCCCTCAAGCACTTCCTGCCTGGCTGGGAATGTGTCTGCCATGAACTGCCAGGATGATGAGGAGGAGTAAGAGGAGGGAAAGTATCCTGGCGAAGGATGTAGCTGGGACTGGGACACACCGGGGCAAGCAGGGTATGGGGAAGGAAGTACACACAAGGGGAATCAGAGGGGCCACTGTCTCCATGATCACAGTGGGCTCTGAGCTGTAGGGAGCAGCGGGAGCTGCACTCTAGGAGGCTGAGGCAAGCAAAGATCCACAGCCCAACTCCCTAGCTGGCCAGGTGGGGCTCACTAGCTGTGGAAGGAGGTGTGTGATTCCTCAGCTGGAGTGGGCTCAGAACAGGTGAGGGCCACATGCCTCATCAAGCCCAGATGCTGCAATCAGCAAGCAAAGTGCAAAAGGGAAGCAGAGCTGAGGTGCTGTGTCTGCTCAACTGCCCATGTTGGTGGAGCTCAGCTTGGATGCTCCTGGACCTCCACAGGACTGTACTTTGGGTTTGATTCTGGACTGTATCCTGACTGCTGGACTTCGGACTTGGCCTTGTTTCCTGAGCTTTGGACTTTGCTTGTGTGGCTTGATCATCAGACTTAGAACTTTGGACTTGGAGTACTGACTTGCTGCCAGGTAGGCCAGGGGTTCAGGACAGCGTCCTTGAACTGTGCTAACGCCTCTCAGTTGCCAGGGTGGAGACATGTGGGTGGGTGGGTAGGTGTAGGTCAAAACCACTGCCCTTTGTGTAGCTTGAATATAACCTACAGCTAAGCATTATATCCATTGCTTCGTTCACTTTTGCCGCTGGCTCTATGGGCACCTGAACGATTGCCACTCAGAATGGATAGCCGTGTTAGTGGGCGAGGAGAAGGTGGACCCACTCAGGGAGGGGCGCCACTGATTGCATCTTGCCCGTGGACCCCTCAGAACACGGAGCTGCTCAACTCTGATGATCTGGCACAGCATGTCAGTTTGAAAAGTTCAAAAGCCACGTGCCTTAAGGTATGAAAAAGGTGGCATCAATGCCTACTTCTAAGAAAGGGGCTACAATCCATCAGAGTATTTTAGAATTTTTCCTATGCATAATTTCTCTAGAAGGACAACGTTTTCTCACGTAATGCGCTTGTCTTTTCTAAAAATAAAATGGGAGGTTTCTCTGACTATCACATACAAGCTGCCACAAACTGTGTTTGTTATATATAAAGAAAACTATAAAACTTGCAACTATGCTTAAAAATTATGGTGTCTATGCAACTTGGAACGGGGAAAACCACAAACAGCTTCTTCTTTTTTCCCTTTTTGGTTTGCTGGGAGATTTTTGTTGACAATGTGGAGATGTAATTTCATAGCTGCCGATGGAATAGGATCTTCTGATTGGTTTACCTTCACTTCTAAGGCCAAATACAGCTTACTAAGCAAGTGTCATGTACCAACCCCAAATTACTCCATTAGGAGTCATAATTTTTCCTGCAAGGTAAAAGAAAAATCAGCAGTCTTGATTTCTGCACACTTGCATAATTCGAATATGTTATAGACATTTTTGCAGTGAACCCGTAGTATGGTAGCCAGTTTAAAGAGAGAAATGCCTAGTCTTTGTTTTCTGAAATTTTCTGGTCTTACATTTTCGGTGCAGTCCTATATTACTGTAAATCCAATTGAGGGGCTTCAGGATGTGATGTAGGTGCCAGTCTGGCAGCAAAGATGGAGGTATGCTGGTGAGACAATGTTTTTTCCACCAGACATCTTCCATCATGCTAGCTGGAAACTGCCCATGTACATAGGAAGTTATCTCATACTGAGTCACACCAATGGTTTGTGTGGCTCTTTATCATATATACTGAGTAGCAGTGGCTCTCCAGGATTCCTGACATTCCCAGTCCTACTTGGAGATGCCTGGGACTTTCTGAGCACAAAGCAGAATGCTACAGCCCTTCCTATGTAGCTGCTCCACACTTCCTCAACAAACAGCCTCATTGAACTCGGTGCTGCTTACTTCTTCATCAACTTGTGTAAAGTCTGTCTCTTAAACATTTGCACTTCTACCTATTGCAACCAAATGGGAGTTTAAGGTTTTGATTTTCCTTCAAAGAAATGGAACAGTCAACTTACTTGAGAAAAACATCTTGGTTCTGAAGTTCTTCATGAAAGGCTTCGAGCTTTGCATTTCCCTGCAGATGGCCCGAGATGTGGGTGCAGACGTCAGTCATCTCTATTCTGCTGTCCTGACACTAGCACACCATGTTCTTTCATTCAAGTTCCCTTCTGATTGACAAGCCCTAGGATGACTAACGTAATTCAGGCCACCTATTTCCCATCAACAGTCCATTAAGTGCCGTACACAATGTACCTGGTATTGATGTCGTACAAGATGAAAAGTGGCTGGAGTGATGGAGAATTACAGGTTGTGATGAGCCTTACAAATCATTACCTGAACAAACTACTGGGAGACTGCAAAGAGGAGGAAGTAGGATGCATCACTGTACACCCTACTAAAGAAAGGATGTGTCTATTTCCCCCCACTCTGTCTTAATGCGGGAAAGATTATTTGTTCAGTAGGTGATTGAATACTTTCAGACAATGCCAAACTGGCCCAGAAGGAACCAGCGGCAGCAGTTCCACTTGGACTGTTTTGAACGTTCAGAAGCAATTGACAGAGGCATATCTTTAGTTGTCCTAGCTGCCTTTTCTGGGATCAAAGGCACAGGATGTGAAATAAAATAAACGAGTAACTTACTTTCCAGGGGAAATCTGATGAATTGAAATTTCCTACCACTGGCCCATTTGTGATATCTCAGTGACCTGTTTAACAATATTAAGTCCCCATTTGGAAGCACTTGTAGAACATGACACTCTTGCATGGTGTTTACAGCATAACATATTGCAATTCCAGAATATAAGCTAATGTAAGGATATGTTTGCCACACAACATTGACATGTTGAAAGGGAAAGGAAGTTGAAAGGCTTTGCCTAACATCTTGTGGTTAAACTATGTGGACATAATACTTGGGAAAGATTCATAGCACACCTCCACAAATGGTTGCCCATGTTCTCCCCTGAACCATGCTGTCAGCTTTGTTTTTCATTGTTTCTATGTTCCTATGTTTTTTTTCTGTTTTTTCTGCTGCCAGTAAAAGCAGCAGCAGCAGCAGCAGCAGCAGCAACAGCTGTGTCCTCCACAATGCCCTGGACCTACCATCATTCCAGGGCATGGTGTGTATGTGTGGAAATGATGGACACTACAAAAAAAGTGGAGATTCTGTGAGGTTGCCTTCTTTTCTGGGGCAAGAAGAAAAACCTCAGATTCCTCCTATCTCAAAAAGTATATTCAGAAAGATTTGAGCACAGCTCTTGACAAACACAAAAAATGCTTAAAAGCAGCAACAACCTTGCAACATATATATTACACTCTACAATGATGTTTCAATATTTGAGCACCATTTTGAGATTTTGCCACATAAGAACCCTGCATGATCAGACCAAAGGCCTATTTAGTCCAACATTTTTCCAGATGCCTGTGGGAAGCCTCCTTTTTGTTATTTTTGAGAGGAACATTTGCCAAACCTGTGTGCTAAAGGCATGGACCTCTTTCATAAAAGCTGGGGCGGCGGGGATGTATATGTGATATAAACAATGAAATAACTAAAATGAATGCTCTTAACTAGAGTCTGAGCGATTCACTCTTGAATATAGCAAAGAGTTGGCTTTCAGACTTTGCAGTGAAACCCCTAAAATCTCTTTGTCCCTCTTTACCTAAAACTGAAATGATGTCCCCTAGTATGTGACTGGTTTTGTTCTCTCCACTTAGCCTTTCCTAGACAAACATAGTAGTAAGCTCGCTCATTTCTTCAGGGATCTACAATAGTCTCAGATTGCTGATGTTTTGATTCTTTACCACTGGTGAGCTCTCTAATTCGTATCCCCATTGTATTGGCTGAAGGTAACCAGTCTGCCTGGAAGTGAAGCCTGGCATTTAAATAGGGTGGTCCGCTGTCCTATTTTACAGGGGGAAATCTTCTGTTTGAAGGGCTGCCAGCGCTCTATTTGAGAGCATCCTCTGCTTTTACAGGGTTGACTGGTCCAAGCCCAGTTTAAAGGCAAAGAACCCCAAGAAGAGAGAGTGCAGCAAGAGCCTTGAAGTTGTCTCGAAAACACCTGGGCAGCAAGATCACCTGGTCACAGTCATCCACACTGTGGAATGATGTGCGGCATTTGCATTTCACAGTCATGATTTCTATATTGGCACATCTCCATATTCATATAGATATATTAGCACATTGCAATTTTAACGCAAATATGTGCCCTCTTCTTCTGTTTTGGCAATGCCTAGGTGGTCACCAAGGGCCTGGCTTAGACCTGTACACATTTTGCCCAGAAATCCATAAAAAACAAACTTTGGCAAAAAAAAAACCCCTTCTCTCTATCTCTCCATCTCGGGAGTTTCACAAGCCTCTGCTGCATAAACAAGATGCCAACACTTAAGCAAACTCAAGGGAGGGGGGAGCCAAAAGGACTGCAAGGGCTTCAATTCAGTCTCTCCCCCCTCCACCGTACTATGTAAATACCAGAAAGGAAGTGAGCCAGACCTGGATGCTTTCTGATGTGGATGAGATGCTTTGACATCGGTGCAGATGGAAATGTCTATGTGGTCCGAGTGGGCGAGACGAGCTCCGCTCTTGATCATGGGAAAACAACGGATCAGTATGCTATCAAACTCTGCCTAGGGTCAGTCCGGCTTAGATCAAGCAGGAAGTGATGTGCTGACATTCTGGGCAGCTCTGAAACTCCGAGTTCTTTTGAGCACAGTTTGTACCCGGAGGAATGAGGCTGAATGTGTTTGCTATTTTTCTCACTTGGCTTCGAGGCTGCTCACGAACTGACTGCTTTGAAAGGTAGCTGGGGAAGGGCAGATGCTGTCATTGCCTTGAAGAGGTTGCGCCGCTTTTTCATTGGGTTAGCGTTGAAGCCCCAACAATAAGCTGTCTTTGGGGTGCATCCTTGTAATTAGACGTTGAAAGGCACACAAATGCGCAGGCAAGTGCGAAGAAAGCGGAGGAATGCCTGCACCGATCGACGGGCAGCCACTGTCTCGTACGGCTGCCTAGACTCAGTGAAGGAAAGGAAAACACCACAGTGTTAGTTGCTCGTCAGTGTGACCCCATTTAAGATCAATTGCAATGGGATCTAAGCCAAAAGATTAATAGGAATCTGACAGATCTTGTTTGAAAGTATATTTATTCTGTCAGATTTCGCGAGTGGTAGCTATTTCTCCATTCAAGCTGAATGATAGTATTCAGCCTGCATACTTAGTCATCCTGACAGCCAGAAAGATAAACATGTCAGCATGTGATTGGCCAAATACTTTCCCATGGAATCGAGGCAGACGCTGCCAGCAGTGCTTGCACTGAAAAAAGAGGACCGTGGCTCTGGAAGCAATACAGGACCCCCCAATGCTGCAAAACAAGCTTTCAACAACAGCGGCCCAAAGTTTGGAATTAGCGTCCCAATATGTCTCTGCCCACCATGAACTTCAGTTTGCATTCTAACTTATTTGCAGAAATGTTTGCTCTTGGAGTGTGTAAGAGCAAGCATAAGGGTAAGACTCACCTGCCCTGAGTGGAGTTCATAAAACAAAGAACTGTGCATTTAAAACAGGCACCCCCAAACTCAGCCCTCCAGATGTTTGGGGACAACAATTCCCATCATCCCTGACTACTGGTCCTGTTAGCTAGGGATGATGGGAGTTGTAGTCCCAAAACACCTGGGGGGCAGAGTTTGGGGGTGCCTGGTGTAAAACATTGAATGGGAATAGCTGGTACCGCCATTAGGGAATAAATCATTGTTTTAATTTAGGGATGGGAAATCTGTGGTTCTCCAGACGTTGTTGGACTGTGAACACCTCTACCTTGGACATCGCTGGCTGGTGCTGATGCAAGTTGAAATCCAGAAACATCTGGAGGATCACATGTTCCCATTCCTAAATTAAAATAACAATCTGTTGTCTGATGGTTAGGGCTAGCGATCCTTTTCTTTCAGTGCTGTGCATGCACAGTTGCCTCTTCCATGGAAGTGAATGGGGAAATTCAGTCATGCAAGAGTTCTGGGTGTGCTCTGGAGCACATGTGGGGCTCGAGATTACAGTGACCGTTTCAAGGAGGCAATCTGGTTGTTGGTTTTTTCCTGGAAGCAAGCTACTTTATGATTCAATCCATTGTTTTAAAATTGAAAGGTGTGAAAGCTCACCTTGGGGAGATAAGTATGTTGATTCCTACTTTCCTGCAGTCTTGACAAAGACCGATTCCTAAAAACACATTTGAGAAAACAATCACGGAGGGTGATGGTTCATTTTAAAGGTGTAGCATGAGCTTCATCTCTAACTGCAAATACGCACAATTTCCTGTTGCCAGGTTCTGATGGGATTCCGCTTAGTGACAGGATACAATTAAAACCATTTATCAAATCTAAGGCTGGGAGCTGACATGTGCGAAGGCAGGTAACTGATGGATTTGGAAGACTGAATTGCTAGTTATCGGAAAAATCGTTACATAGCTCTTCAAACTTTTCAGCGTTAATTTAGAACTCTGCAAAAAGAGACCTCACTGACATGAATTTTGCTCAGTTAAAAATGATATTAAAGGGACATGTTTGTGATAAGAATAGGATATAAGAGGAAACCCTCAAATAAGTTTGTGTAAGACTCTGAAAAAGCAGAGACATCACCTTGCCAACAAAGGTCCGTATAGTTAAAGCTATGGTTTTCCCAGTAGTGATGTATGGAAGTGAGAGCTGGACCATAAAGAAGGCTGATCGCTGAAGAATTGATGCTTTTGAATTATGGTGCTGGAGGAGACTCTTGAGAGTCCCATGGATTGCAAGAAGATCAAACCTCTCCATTCTTAAGGAAATCAGCCCTGAGTGCTCACTGGAAGGACAGATCCTGAAGCTGAGGCTCCAATACTTTAGCCACCTCATGAGAAGAGAAGACTCCCTGGAAAAGACCCTGATGTTGGGAAAGATGGAGGGCACAAGGAGAAGGGGACGACAGCAGACGAGATGGTTGGATAGTGTTCTCGAAGCTACCAGCATGACTTTGACCCAACTGTGGGAGGCAGTGGAAGACAGGAGTGCCTGGCGTGCTCTGGTCCATGGGGTCATGAAGAGTCGGACACGACTAAACGACTAAACAATGGGAGTAAAAAACTATGTCACCTCAAGCTACATAGGTATGGGACTTAACCCAGGACTCTGCTGGGAAGTGTGGGTGGGTGGGCGTGTGGTTTTGAATCTCTGAAATGCCCTAATTCAGATGCTATAGCCCAGGGGTCAGCAAACTTTTTCAGCAGGGGGCCGGTCCACTGTCCCTCAGACCTTGTGGGGGGCTGGACTATATTTTGGAAAAAAATATGAACGCATTCCTATGCCCCACAAATAACCCAGAGATGCATTTTAAATAAAAGGACACATTCTACTCATGTAAAAACACGCTGATTCCCGGACCGTCCGTGGGCCGGATTTAGAAGGCGATTGGGCCGGATCTGGGCCCCAGGCCTTAGATTGCCTACCCATGCTATAGACAGTGGGAATTTCCCCCACAGTTCTACACCCATAGAGCTTTCTGTAGGCATACTAGGAGATCACTGGAGTGACCCCCCCACTGTTCTTCTGCAACAGACCTTAGAATTGCCCTGTTTTTCTTTTACTTTTGATTTGGTTCAAAGAAACCAAACAGAATTAAAGACTACTTATAAAAGAAACACACCCAAAGATTTGAACAATTGCTTATTTTCTTTGAATGTGATCTTTTATTTTTATGAAAATGTCAAGAGCAGATCATACCTTCTGACTTGAACAAGAAAATAATTCACTCACAGTTGTCAAAAATGCCACTCTTTTTTTTAAAAAAACCTTTTTAGCATTCATTCTGCTTTCCCTCCTTGTTTGCTTTGCATTCCTCTCCTTAAATAATAAAAAAGAGTAAGAAGTTAAGATGAAAATAAAATGCAACAAGGCATATTGAACATTGTCACTTCGCTTTTGTTTTTGGTTCTTAAACAAAACTTTGCAATAAATCTGACTGATGCTTATCTTGAGATGACATACTGGTTGCATATTTCTCACAGTTAAGTGATTCCAAAATATGCTTTCTTTATCTTAAATTTTAGTTTTCATCCCATGAGTCTTTTAAAAGAAAGATTATGGAGTATGCTTTTCCCCCAGAGAGAGTGAATGAGAGAAAATAAATCGGGCCACGAACCTTAAAAACATCCTTAAATGTTACCACTGGGCAGAGTAATCCAAACTCCCAACTCGCCATGCTGGAGGGGTTTGGATGAGGCAAAAGTGTTCTGGCTCTTGCCCAGACATGCATGTCTCTGCCAGTGAGGAGGTTCCACGGCTGTGGAGAACTTTGCTCTGCCCTCTGAAAGCTTGTGTGGGCAGAAGCATAAATGGGCAACTTCAGGGGGGAGAAAAGGCGCTCAGTTGGCCAAAGATCTGCTGGATTTTAAGCTGGTCCAGCTACCAACAAGTGGTCAAATCCAGGCCTATCCGCTCCACCAGCCTGGAACTGGCACAAACATGCAAGTTTTTTCCTACCCCTGCTCATCACACTTCTACCCTGACTGGTATGAGCTTCAGGGCCCCTGCTGCTGCCCTCCAGGGCTTAGAATCGAGCCCTTGGACTATAGGTACCACTATAGGTATAATTCCGAGATGTCCCGTATACATCCCTGCCCTATGTGGTACAGATGGGAGACTGCAGTACAGTGGTACCTCGGGTTAATAACTCAATTCATTTTGGAGGTCCGTTCTTAACCTTAAACTGTTCTTAACCTGAGGTACCACTTTAGCTAGTGGGGCCTCCTGCTGCCACCGCTGCCCAATTTCTGTTCTCATCTTGAAGCAAAGTTCTAAACCCGAGGTACTATTTCTGGGTTAGTGGAGTCTGTAAGCTGAAGTGTCTGTAACCCGAGGTACCACTGTAACAGTTTCATGTGTTGCTATGCAGATGGGAATATGTATCCCCGGCCATTATTGTGTGCGACTATATCTGGATCAAGGCCTATGTACCAATGGATTCCCACATGGTTTATGTGCGACTATATCTGGATCAAGGCCTATGTACCAATAGATTCCCACATGGTTTGTGTGCGACTATATCTGGATCAAGGCCTATGTACCAATGGATTCCCACATGGTTTGTGCACTCTGCTGAAGTGGTTGTCATACAGTAAGCAGTCGTCTGCATTCACCTGAAGAAAGACCTTTGAAAAGTCAGTTGAGAGAACTTCAGAAATGGATACAAGAGCTTTATGCCTGTCGGTGGAAAATATTCTTCCCCTAGATGTCAGTAAACAATGCTAAGGCTATAAAATACCAGGGTGGGGTGGGGGATGTTACTGTGCAATTGAAGCACCCTCTCCAAAGTTTGCCAACTATTTAATCTTAAACAGATTCAGAAGCATTGTGAAAGATTAATGCAGAGATGAAGAAAACTTCCATTGACACCTAATACAGACCATAAAGCAAATGTTTAAGCAGCTCCCTCACTTTGAAGGCATTGTCAAGAGCTCTGGTGAAATCTACCGCTGCTCCAGCTTGCTTTGGATGCAGTTCTGAAATGCAGCGATATGAAACATGAAAAGCATTTGATTTCGGTGGTTTCACAATGTGGTGACAACATCG